GAACTGCTGGCTGCTTCCCGCAGGGCACATCTGGAGAAAACCCTGCTCCCTGCTCCCTGCTCCCTGCTCCCTACATCCGGGCTCCCTGGGCCTCCCTCGGCTTGCCCAGCTGGCTTGTCACAGCCAGGATGAGGAGCTGAGACACTTGGGCTTACCACCAAGTCCTGCCACGTCACCAAGGCCTGTGGGGAAAAGGCCAGACCTGGGGAAACTTTGCTGCTTCCCAAAGCGCCAGGGGGGAACTGAGACCCACCATAGGCCCTTCCTCCCCAGCCTCCTCCCGGCCCTGATAACCCTTCCCCTCACGGAGCCCCCGACTCCCTCTTTATCTTTATTATTTTTATTATTTTATTTAATTATTTTAATTTTTATTATTATTATTTTTTTTGGGAGATGGAGTCTTGCTGTGTTGCCCAGGCTGGAATGCAGTGTCGCGATCTCAGCTCACTGCAACCTCCGCCTCCCGAGTTCAAGCAATTCTCCTGCCTCAGCCTCCTGAGTAGCTGGGACCACAGGCGTACGCTGCCACGCCCGGCTAATTTTTTGTATTTTTAGTAGAGAAGGGGTTTCACCGTGTTGCCTAGGCTGGTTTCGAACTCTTGAGCTCAGGCAATCCGCCCACCTTGGCCTTCCAAAGTGCTGGGATTACAGGTGTGAGCCAGCGCGCCCTGTTATTATTTTTATTTTAAGTAGAGAGAACTGCCAAGGAGAGGGGAGTCGCGGTGTGCGTAGACTCTGGAGCCAACTCACCCTGACGTCCCTCCAGCTGGAGCAGCCCCTGCAGAGAACTGTTTCAAGAAGCCAGGCTGTGGCTGTGGCCAGGCCAGATGCAGCCCACAGTCCAGCTGTGACCCCTGCCAAGCAGATGGAGACAGTGACCTGTGGGCGGGTGGGATGGAAGTGCAGGAAGAGGCCAGGAGTGAAAAGAAAAGCCCTGGCCGGCTCCTGACGCCTGTGAATGCCCTGGCTCAGCTCAGGCCATTCTCGGGGCTTCTGGTCCTCACCCTCAGGGAGATGGAAAATTCTTCTGGGCGCCCTGGGGTGAAACAGCAAACCTGCCGAATCTAGGACAGCACAGATTGTTTGGCTGTCCACAAGCTCCTCAGACATTTGCTATCAAATACATGCGTAAGATGTTCACTGTAGTATTTGTTACTAATTGGGAAGGATGAGATATTCTAGAATTAGAAGACCTAGGGCTGCTAGGGCTAACGTAACAAAAATATTACAGCCCAGGTGGCTTAAACAACAGAAATTTATGCCCACACAATGCCGGAGGCCAGGATGGAGGTGCTGACAGGGTTGGTTTCTTCTGTGTTCTCTCTCCTTGGCTTGTAGATGGCCATCTTCCTCCTGGGTCTCCTTATGGTCTTCTCTCTGTGTGTATCTGTGTCCAGATCTCCTCTCCTCAGAGACACTACTGCAGTTACTAAGAACAGGGAAGATATCTACGTATCGGCAAGGAAGGAGGTCCAGCTTACTAAGCGGAAAATGTCACAGAGCAATAAGTAGCATATGATCTTTTGTAGATACCTAAAACCCAAGTGTTTATTTTTATGTTTGTGTGTAGGAAGACCACTCACAGGGCTTCTCTCTAGAGGGGGAACAGGATTAGGAGTGACTTGAGGGGGCTTGACTTGTGTACGTCTATGTGTGTGGCACATTGGATTATTCTTTTTTTTTTTTTTTTTTTTTTTTTAGATGGAGTCTTGCTCTTTTGCCCAGGCTGGAGTACACTGGTGCTATCTCAGCTCACTGCAACCTCCACCTCCCGGGTTCAAGCGATTCTCCCGTCTCAACCTCCTGAGGGCGCTAGGATTACCGGCACATGCCACCATGTCTGGCTAATTTTTGTATTTTTAGTAGAGGTGGGGTTTCACCACGTTGACCAGGCTGATCTCGAACTCCTGACCTCAAACTATCTGCCTACTTCAGCCTCCTGAAGTGCTGGGATTACAGATGTGAGCCACTGTGCCTAGCCTGGATTATCCTTCATTCTTTTTCCTTCCCTTTGGCCTGAGACTCTGTACCCTCTGCCACATTAAGCTGAGTGTTTTTCCCTGCTGCACTGATGTTGAACTTGGCCATGTGACTTGCTTGGGCCAAGGGAGTTTTGATGTATGTAACCAGAGCAGGGGCCTTAAATGTGCCTCTTTGGCATGGCTTGGTTCCTTGGGCTGTTGTGACTCTTTCAGAAGAATATGCCTTAGTGAATGGCTGGTCCACGGAGAATGCGAAGACTTGAAGAGCAGACTGAACCCAGCCTCAGCCTGGAGCTGAACCCAGCTGATACACAGATCCATGAGCAAGAAAAAGACGTGCTTACCTGAAGCTGAGTGAAATAAGTCAGACACAAAGGGACAAATATGGCAAGCTTCTACTTATATAAAATATCTAGAATATATACATAGAGATGGAAAATAGATTAGAGGTTACCAGGGACTGAGGGAGGAGGAATGAGGAGTTATTGCTTAATGAGCACTGAGTTTCTGTCTGGGGTGATGAAAAAGTTTTGGAGCTAGAAAACAGCAATGGTTTCACAACGCTGTGAATGTACTTAGTGTCACTGAATTGTAAACTTTAAAAATGGTTAAAATGGTGAGGGATAAAAGACTATACTTTGGGTACACTCCTTCGGGTGATAGATGCACCAAAATCTCAGAAATCACTGCTTAACAACGTATCCATGTAACCAAAAACCACCTGTATCCCCCAAAGTATTGAAATAAAAAATTTTAAAAAATGGTTAAAATGGGCTGGGTGCGGTACCTCACACCTATAATCCCAGCACTTTGGGAGGCTGAGGTGGGCAAATGGCTTGAGCTTAGGAGTTCAAGATCAGCCTAAGCAACATGGCAAAAAAATCTGTCTTTGCAAAAAATACAAAAATTAACTGGCTGTGATGGCATGCACATGTGGTCCCAGCTACTTGGGAGGCTGAGGTGGGAGGATCGCTAAAGCTGGGGAGGTGGAGGTTGCAGTGAGCTGTCATCACACCACTGCACTCCAGCCTGGGTGACAGAGCAACACTCTGTCTTAAAAAAAAAAAAAAAAAAAAAAAGGTTAAAGTGATAAATTTTGTGTTACATATATTTACCACAATTTAAAAAATATATACTATAACCAAAATCATTTAATTGTACACTTAAAATGGGTGAATTATATGGTATGTGAATTATGTGTCAGTAAAGCTGTTTAAAAAATAAAAGGCCAGGTGTAGTGGCTCATGCCTGTAATCCCAGCACTTTGGGAGGCTGAGTATATATAAAACTGAGCATATGACATTTAAAAATATACCCAATGGGCCAGGCACAGGGATTTACACCTGTAATCCCAACACTTTGGGAGGCAGGCAGATCACGAGGTCAGGAGTTCGACACCAGCCTGACCAACATGGTGAAACCCCATCTCTACTAAAAATACAAAAATTAGCTGAGTGTGGTGATGCATGCCTGTAATCCCAGGTACTCAGGAGGCTGAGGCAGGAGAATTGCTTGAACCCGGGAGGTGGAGGTTGCAGTGAGCCGAGATTGCACCACTGCACTCTAACCTGGGTGACAAAGTGAGACTCCATCTCAAAAAAAAAAAAAAAAAAAAAGAAAGAAAAAAGAAAAGAAAAGAAAAGAGAAAGGAAAACACATGCTGCTGTTTAAGCCATTATGTTTCAGGTGGTTTGTTAAGCAGCACTAGCACAGTGACAGCTGACTTATACAGCATGGCTGTATGCATGTATTTTAGAATTAGTACATACTATTCGTGCAATTGAAAATAAGCAAAACCAGAATTTATTGCATTCCTCCGAACAGGCCCCTCTTTTCCCGCTTTCCTCCCCGGCAGTGGCACTGGAATGTTTCTGGACATTGCTCATCCCAATTTGGAGTGACTTGGCTTCTCTTGATAGCCAGGCCCAAGTCCTGCGTCTGTGGAACATGCCTCCACGTGGCTCCCTCCTTTGGCTCTCTGTAACCACCTGCAAAGATATGTTTTCATCGCCTGGGCCTGGATGGTTGCCTGGGTGTCCCAGGGGGTCTCCCGGCCTGGGTCCATCTGGCACTCTCAACAGGTTTCCATTAAGCTACCCTGCTCAGTCAGCCCGGGGTCCGCCTCCCAGAACACACACACATGCATACACGGAGATACACTTTCCACTCTGTAAAATGGGTTTCCAATAAACTCTATTTTTTGTTGCTTAGAGGCATGCTAGGTGATCAATGAACGCATTCAAACATAAAATATGTACTGTAGGGGGATAGTATTCTGTGGGGGGAATTAGAATGGAAATGAGTTCAAGGAGGCAATTAAATGTAAACTTTCCAAATGTTGGAAGATATATTTGTATATATTTCAAAATAGATTTTGGTTTGTATGGAATCCACAGGATATACAGATGTCATTGGGTACTTTTTGTCTTTGTGTGTGTGTGTGTCGGACTCTCACTCTGTCATTCAGGTTGGAGTGCAGTGGCAGGATCTCGGCTCACTGCAACCTCCGCCTCCCGGGTTCAAGCCATTCTCCTGCCTCAGCCTCCCAAGTAGCTGGGATTACAGGCACGTGCCACCACGCCCGAGTAATTTTTTTTAGTAGAGACGGGGTTTCACCATATTGGCCAGGCTGGTCTCAAACTTCCGACCTCAGGTGATCTGCCCGCCTCGGCCTCCCAAAGCATTGGGATTACAGGTGTGAGCCACTGCGCCTGGCCCATTGGGTATATTTTTAAATGTCATATTTACATACACTGGTAATTATGTCTTTTGCAATTGTTTATAATTAAACTGTTATGATATTAACTTAATATTATGAGAGGAGATGCACAGAAGTTTTTCAACATTATTTTAGGGTATGCACGTGAGGAAAATGATCTGGAAACTGCTGAGAAAGGGGGCGGTGATCGTTTGAACTTGGTCAGGTCGCCTGACCTTGAGTTTGAGTTTCGCTTGCCTAAGTGAAGGGCAATTGAAGCACTGAGCCCTTCAGGTTGCTCTAGGAGTGGAAGTAAATGAGCCACCGCAGGAAAGGCGCTCAGCTGGGAGGAAGGAGCACGTTCAGCCTGGGGAGGAGGATGGGAGAAGGAGGCAGATGAAGGCAATGGTGATCAGGTTTTCGGCGGGAAGGTGACCTCCGACCTGGCTGACACAGGGCAAGGAAGAGATCTCCGTCTCTGCAGAGGGGCCTGAGGGCAGGACACATCAGGCCGAGAACTGCCAGTGCAAAGGCCTGGGGGCCGGAAGGTCTTGGTCGGGGAGCCCCGGCGCAGGCGCAGGCTGAGGCCCTCGGATCCCCAGCGGGTCCTCGGCATCAGTCACTCTCTGCGAGTCAGAGCTGAGGGTCACCGCCTGCAGGAGCCTCCGTGCGCGGCCCCACTCCCTCACCTGCGTCCCCGTGGGGAGGCGACCCTGACCGCCCTCATTCCGGACGCCAGCAGGGCTCCGGCAGCCAGCGGTCCCCTCCCGAGTCTCTGCTCCTGCCAGGACTCTGCAGGAGCGGGACCCCATCGCCGCGGCTGGGATGCCGTGAGAGTTTCATTCCACTCAAAGGCTCTTGGAAAATTCACTCGAAAGGTCTTGGAAAATTGGGGACATACATCTTTAAAAGCTGGAGACACTTTATGGAGCGGAGTATCTGCACCGCCCCCGCCCCAACTCCTGTTCTTCCTCCCCTCCCCGAGCAGGTCTGGGTGATGGCTGGGGATTCGCCATGGCGTGGGGATCCGGCGTGGTATCCTGCACCGGGTAGTGGCGCGGTGTGTCCCGAGGCTAATTTGGAAAAAGGCGAAACCTGAGGGGCGGCGGCGGCGAGCCCTCGGCACAGCGTCCCCTGGCGGCCGCCAGGCTCAGCCAGGTCTGAGAGCCGGGAGGTCGCCGGAAGAGCCGGGCCCAAGGCAGGATCAGCCCAGCTCCTCCAGGTAGCCTCCTCCTCCTTCTGCTCCTCCTCCTCCCATGCCCCCTTCCTTTCCCTCTTTCTTCTCGTCCTTCCCTCCTTCCCTTCTTCCACTCCCTCCTCCCTCTCCCTCCCCTCCTCTCCTCCTTTTTCTTCTAATTCCTACAGTTCGTCTTTTAAATTAATGTACGTCAATATTTAAATAGGTTATAGATTAACATAGTTCAAGTATGTTTTTAAAAAACTGTTCAAAGGTATACAGTGAAAAGTCTTCATCCCAGAAAAGCTGTCAGTCAAATGTTAAAACTGAGGGACATTCTACAAAATACCTGACTAATATCCTCAGAACTGTCAAAGTCATCAAAACCCAGGAAGAGTCTGAGAAATTGTCACGGCCGAGAAGAGCCTAAGGAGACAGGACCATCAAATGTAATGTTGTGTCATGGATGAGGTCCTGGAGCAGAAAAACGGACATCTGGTGAAAACCAAGGAAATCCGAGTCAAGATGGACTTTAGTTAATGCATCAACACCGGTTCATTACTTGTAACAAACAACACATACCAACGACCGATGCTAATAATAGGGAACCCTGGGTGAAAGCTTTATGGAGACTCTTATTATCTTTGCAATATTTCTGTGACTGTAAAACTGTTTAGAAAATAAAGTTTATTTTTTTAAAGAGTCTTCATGTCACCCCTGCCTCCAACCATACAGTTTCCACCCCTCAGAGTATTAATTATTGATCTCAGCTTTTTTTGTTTTTTTGTTTTGTTTTGTTTTGTTTTTTTGAGACTGAGTTTCGCTCTTGTTGCCCAGGCTGGAGTGCAGTGGCGGCATCTCGGCTCACTGCCACCTCCACCTCCCGGATTCAAGCGATTCTCCTGCCTCAGCCTCCCGAGTAGCTGGGATTACAGGCATGCACCACCATGCCCGGCTAATTTTGTATTTTTAGTAGAGATGGGGTTTCTTCCATATTGGTCAGGCTGGTCTTGAACTCTTGACCTCAGGTGATCCTCCCGCCTAGGCTTCCCAAAATGCTGGGATTACAGACGTGAGCCACTGTGTCCAGCGATCTTAGCTTTTTGTGTGCAAATACTAGCAGATGTAAACATCTACCCTTTTCTACAGAAATAGTCTCACACTCTGTTAGTTCTGCAATTGTGTTCTTCACTTATTTCATATCACAACATAGAGCATCCCTTTTTCTTGTTTACAGGCTGGACAGACCATTATGCCTGTGACCAGTTAGTTCCCTGTTGTACACTTGGGCTGTTTCCTTTACCTTTTTTCTTTTTCATCCTGTTCAAATACGACTTCAGGGAATAACTGTGGAAGTGATGAGTCAATATGTTGGGTAGCTTGCCAGTCGTGGGACTGCTACGCCCCAAAGTGGGGCTGTTTGTAATTGTGGTAGACAGGACCATTGGGATTTAATCCGCAGGTCAATCAGCACCTCCTCGGGCCTGCAGATCTGGAAGAAGCAGCTAGATCTAGGTGACACTCCCAGTCCGCAGTCCGCAGAGGATGCCCCAGCAACCTTACCAGGGAGCAAGCCCCCTGTGTCGGATTCCCGCAGGGACGTGTGGATGCGCGCTTCCCCAAGGCTGGTAGAAGTCCTGGGCTTCCCACCACAGACCGTGGGATCCAGGAGCTTCCCGAGGACTGGGTGTCAGTCTCCGGGTCTGGGGTCCCGGCAACTTGCCCCACCTCCAACTCCTCCTTCCTCGCCCCACGGCCACCGGCCCGGCAGCTCCCAGTCCTTCTCCCACCCGGAGGTCGAGCAGGCCACACCCCCATCCACTCCGAGATTCCCCTTCCCCTACCCTCAGCAATTGTGGTGTCTGCTGTCAAGATGATATGTCCCCACCTGCTTGTACTCATACTGCCCTTTGCCCCCTTAACACCCCACCGTATCTCTCAAATTCTAGGTGATTAAAAAAATTCCTCCCCCAATATTTTCTAAGGAAAAACTTCAGACAAACGGAAAAGTTGATAGAGTTGTGCCGTGAATATCCGCACACCCACCTAGGTCCACACGAACCTCTCCCGACTCCCTGTCCTTCCGTCGGCCTGTCCATCACTTGTCCTTTCCCCGGGAGGCACCCAGACCCGCGGGCGTCCGCACACTCCCCCCAGGGGTCCCCACGCCCGGCCTTGCCCAGAGTTCTGTCTTAATTTCCTTTTTATAAGGTGAAATTTACATACAGCGAAACTTACAAATCCTCAGTGTGCTACAGTCTGGCTGATTTTACACAGTACGTGGAAGAGGCTTTTTAAAAATTATAATAGTTATGTATTCATCTGAACATGTGTTAGGGAAAAACCCTTACCTGTTTTCCATTTTCGATAGGGGTACGAAGTTTCCTTTAGCAATAATGTAGGTAAATGAGCTTATATAAAGGGCTGGGAGGAAGGGGAGGGGAGTGAAAGGGAAAGGAGAGCGAGCTTCCCAGTTAACATATTATTAACTCCCCGTTTCCACGGTTATTCCCTGAAGTCCTGTTTGAATAGCAAAAAGAAAAAAAAGGAAGAAAAATCAGAACCAGCTCAAGTGTGCAACAGGGCACTGGCCACAGGAAGGGTGTGTGTGTGTTTTCCAATCATTACGCATCTTCGCCCGACTCCTTGAGCCTGGGTTTGTTCCTGTGAAAGCAGCACCCAGCACAGGGCCGGGAACACAGTAGGTGCCTAATAAGTGTTTCATGCGTTCACGAGTGTGCAAACGGTTTGTACGCACTATACAAAAATAACGATTCACAATAGGAGGAAAAATTCCCCTTCTCCGTGTCGCCGCTACCCAGCGAGGCACTGACAAGCCAACCGCAGTGTTTGTTAATTGACAAACGGGACAGCAGCGGAACTAGAATTCCGAGTGCTCTGTACGGGATTTACAGCGGTGGTAAGAGTAAAACTGAGCATGCGCAGCACACCAGCCATATGGACTCATAATTCTCCGTCCAAAAACGCTTGCTAGGTGCCTCGTTAGCGCAGTAGGTAGCGCGTCAGTCTCATAATCTGAAGGTCGTGAGTTCGATCCTCACACGGGGCACAATACTTTTGTTTGCTGTCCTTACAGCCCCACCGAAAAGAAACGTTTTGTTTGCTGGTCAAAGTCCCGGGCTGAAAATAAGGAGGAAAGACGTATCTGCGTCGAGTATCCGGCGACCAGGTGAACCTGTTAAGAAGTGCCCCCGCCAAGACCACCCTCGCGCTGCGGCCCGAGTGCTCAGGAAAGAGCACTTGTGAGGACCTGGAGCAGCCCCCGACTCCTCGACCTGCCCTCGCCCTTGCCCTTGCTCTTCGGTACTGGCCGTCGCCGGGGGGTCGCGCACAGCTCTGAGTTACGGCGGGAGTCCAGGTGGTCACAGTCCAGGACGGCGCTGCGAGCGCGGCGGGGTTCAAGGCCGTCTAATGGAGGTAATAGAGGAGTGACTGGGAACACTGTGTGGGGCGGCAAGGAGGCTGCGGGATGGGTAAGCAGCATTCATGAGAGGCCAGCGGTGGGCACCGAACCTATCTGGAAATGGCAGGTCATGATAGGGTCTGGGGAGAGGGGTCTCAGGGAGGTCATGCAGGCGCTGGGATATACCATATGCCGGGGAGCTGTGTCAAGACTGCCTCTGAAACAGACCGCTGCAACTGCGGTCCTCACCTACTACGTTCTTTCTAACCCAGCCATTCTCAAAGATCCGTCTCCCTTCTGCCCAGGTCAAATAGCGAATTAAATTACAATGGAATAGCTATAACTAGCCCTTCATCTTTCAATTCTTTGCTGGTGGCATGATTCTCTTCAGGTTCCTTGGGGATTTTTTTATTTTGTTTTGTTTTGTTTTTTTGAGACAGGGTCTCGCTCTGTTGCCCAGGTTGGACTGCAGTGGCATGGTCTTGGCTCACTGCAACCTCTGCCTCCCGGGTTCAGTCAATTGTCCTGTCTCAACCTCCCTAGTAGATGGGACTACAGGCAGGTGCCACCACACTCGGCTAATTCTTGTAGTTTTAGTAGAGACGGAGTTTCGCCACTTTGGCCAGGCTGGTCTCGAACTCCTGACCTCAGGTGATCCGCCCACCTCGGCCTCCCAAAGTGCTGGGATTACAGGTGTGAGCCACTGCGCCCAGCCCCTGGGGATAATTGTGATAACTTTCTACTAGCCAGGTTTACTATCCTGGTAAGGAGGACATGCCAGGGGCTTTCACTTGAATCTTTCTAGGATAATAGCTCTTACTCAATGGGTCTTAGTGCCAACAGGGAGATTCTGCCATTTTTCATGTATGTTTATTTCAGTGATATATTCAGGTACTCAGAAAATAACCACAGGTTGGTTTCATGGCCCTATTCACCCTCTGTAATTCAAACTTTGCTCAAGACTCCTTTGATTAACTGACCACCGTTAGTCCTGACTTTCACTGGTAGGCCACAGTAATTAGTGTCAATTCAGAACCCATGTTCAGTAATCCCTGGGAGATACGGGTGTTTTCTTTTCCCTAGTACACAACCCTTCAAGTAAATGGCAAGAGGTTTCTTTGGGAAAGGGTCAAAGAATACTCATAAGCACGTATATGTGGCACTGTTTCAGGGTCCTTCCTCAGGGAGACCTGGCCTCCCCTTCTATCAAGAGGCTTTAGATCTGGGAATCATTTTCATACTGGAAACTGGGTGACAGGTATGACGCTCCAAGGTGATGACTCGAGTCAGTTTTTTGGCTACCAGGTCTGGAGTTTTTCCTGTTACATATCTCAAGCAACATTTTAGTAGGCCACCTATCTATTTCATTCTTAGGGACAGTGTAGTCAATTATCAGTAGCCAAAAATCCTTTAATACTACTACCGCCCTGCTGCCCTTTACTGTAAATGGTTGTCTGGTAATTAAATGCTGCTACCTGGCCTCTGCTGCCTCCATTATCCCCACTGAAACCAGGGAGCACATCCATGGTGGTGGGATCTCTCACCGTCACGTCTTGTTGCATGAGCCACCACAGAGCTTTTCAGGTTTGTAGGTGCTCCCTTGCTCAGTGCCTTCATAAAGGAAGTTACTTTTGGACCCAGAGCATGGCATTGGGAGGTGAGTGAGGAGGCCAGATGTGATCAATCCACCCCTACATTCCTACTTCCCTGAGCTTTTGGAGACCTGCATCCACATCATGCCAGGGAAATTCTGGCATCTGTCTCATTAGATAGAGGCCAACATTGAGTCCACATTCCTGTTAGCCAACCAAGCAAACTGTGGAGCCACTTTCAATGGCATGAGCGTGGCAGTTATCAATCATCTCAGGTCTGCAGCGATGGGCTGGGCTCTTGAGGCATTTCTCCTTACAATGTGCATGATGCTGAGCTGTCAATAGAGGGTGCTGAGGGACACTGCAGGAGAAACAGGGCTTCTCTTCCTTGCTCCAATGTTCTGTTTGGCTTACTCTTGCTTCATGGCCCACCAGTGGTGCGTGTGCATGGGGGACATCTAGTCGTGCTCTGCCCCATGTGCCTAGTGTGCACAATTGCTTTATGACTTCACAGTCCTGGCCCAATGACCACGTCACTATAGTCTTCCCAGTCTGGACACTGGCATGTTCCAGGCCTCACGCCAGCAGTGCCACCCTGACGCACTCTGAGCACCTGCCTGCTGGCCTGTTTGCCTGTGCCTGAGGGTGATTTCTTGTGGCCCTCTGGATATGGCCAGCCCGCACACCACCCTGACAAGCGAGGTCCTTATGCCCTGCCTCCCTGTGCATTTTTACCAGCCTCGGATTGTCTGTCCCCAGGAGAGTTGTTTCCTGCTGCCTGGGGACATGGACTACCCCTGGCCTGGCTAAGTCTGAGACCCTCCCCAATATCCAGTGGTCCGCAACCACACCTTCTTTGACCAGGTCTGAACCTAAGCCTCGGGGAGGGAGGAGCCTCCCCTCCGAGTCTGTCCTTCCTTGAGTGCTCTCCTCAGTCCTACGTACCCTGTAGAGTGCTCTTTACATCTTCATAGTTGCTCCCCATCATAGTTTAATAAGTCTTTACATTAAACTTTCCTCATCCAAACAACTGTGTGGTTTGCTTCCTGACTGGACCCAGACTGACAGAATGAGTTTAAACATTAAATCCAGACTCTCGGATAAGCACACCCGTGTTAATAAATTAAGCCTCATGCAGTCCTTGTAGTCAGCTGCTATAACGCCCCACATGCAATGGCTGTGGAAAGACCTTTAGCAAATGCTGAAATCTTGCTCAACCTGGGAGAATTCATACTAGAGAAAAACTCTATGAATGTAAATAAATTCGAAAAGGCCCCTAACCAACTTAACAGCTTATTTAGCACCACTGAATTCATATTGGAAAAAAACTTTCCAAAAGTAGCCAAATGTGGAGAGGGATTTAGCTGAAGCCCAACATTTAGCCAACATTGCAGAATTCACACCAGAGAGAAACTTTATGGATGTAATAAATATGAAAAGGCCTACAGGGACCGCTCTTCTTTAACAAACTCAACGGAGTAATGGAGAGAAACTTTTTAAATGTAGCCAAGAATTTTAGCCAAGTTCAGTCCTTATTCAATTCCAGAGAATTCACATTATAAAGAAATTGAAGATTGAAGATATAATGTCAAGAAGCAGGAAGAGATAATCAGAAATGTATTTTATATATTTCATTAAATGTGATAACCTTTGCAATACCAACCAAGCACATATGACTGAGGCGCTTCAACCAAGTATCTGAAATCTGCTAAGGCAGTGATTTTATCAAGATTATCGGAGAAATGTAGGCTCAGAGAAAACTGGAAGCATGTGATAAAAACTTCATTTGGGTGAGAGCATTCATAGTGTACTTTCACTGGATGAACAGGAACTCTTTTCAAAAATTAACTACTGCAGTTCTAGATATAAAAAAGAGGGTTTTGTATGTGTATGTGGTATGTGTAGCTGCAAAACAGACCTGACTGGGTATAAATCCTAGTAAAAGAGGACCTGAAATAGAGGTAAAAAACTGCAATAGACAGCTGTTTCTGGGTGGCAGAATCACAGAATTTCAGAATTTCGATGCTTTCCGGTGAGCAAGCAATTCTAGTCTACCAAAGTTTCCATCACACTCTACGTATTCTATATCCTGGGATTCCTGTTGTCACACCAGCTTGGTCCACGCAGGCATATGTTTGCAGCCACCTAAAAATGTACAGAAAACTAGGCTGAGGAAGATACTCTTGGGAAACCAATGCTGTATGTAATGCCAGGATATCATTTTAGAACTTTGCTTATTGGGCAAAAGAGAGCACTTTGCTGAAAATATTTGATTAACCATAAGATTATGCTTCGTGGCACCAGAGAAAATAATTACTACTACATATTGTACACTTACTATGTGTCAAGCACTGGGCCAGGAACTTTTTAGGCCTGATCTCTTTTTTTTTTTTTTTTTTTTTCAGATGGAGTCTCACTCTGTCGCCCAGACTGGAGTGCGGTGGCGTGATCTTGGCTCACTGCAACCTCTGCCTCCTGGGTTCAAGCGATTCTCCTGCCTCAGCCTTCCGAGTAGGTGGGATTACAGGTGTGTGCCACCACGCCCGGCTAATTTTTGTAATTTTAGTAGAGAAAGAGTTTCGCCATGTTGGCCAGGCTGGTCTCGGACTCCTGACCTCAAGTGATCCACCTGCCTCAGCCTCCCAAAGCACTGGTATTACAGTTGTGAGCCACCATGTCCGGCCTGGCTGACCTTACTTAATCCTCATATCAAGTATTTCTACCCTTCTTTCAGCGAGTAAGGTTCGGGAGGTCACAAGCAGCCCCACTGTGGAGCCAGGAAGCGGAGGGACGGAGGAAGAGCAGTCGGTGCTGCCAGAAGAAGTAGGCAGAGGGCAGAAGGAGCTGGGCCAGAGATGAGATGTTGCGAGTCTGGTGGGGTCCCTGACAAAGATGAGGTCCCGCTGGCCGAGGCAGGGGTGGGCAGGAAGGTGGTGATGGAGACCACTCCAGGCTGCTGGTGCTCTCCACCTGCTGCTGAGTTCTCTCTCAGTCCAGGCTATAGAGCTGTTGAGATCATTTCCTGTTCTTTATTTCTCCATTCATCCTTAAGATAAACCTTTATCAACTAAAGTTACTGATGTTTACGCCGGTCCCTGCAACCTGAAAGCTTAACACAGCTTTAACCGTTTCTAAAACATTTTTATTGTAAAAAGTACAATAAGCCATTTACAAGCCGAAAAGTATCAGAATTAAATAACACATAATTTTTATAGACACATTTTTCTGTACAAAGGGCTGATCTTTATAGGAATTTTAAATAAATAATCTAAAAATCAGTGTCACTGATTGCAAAATAGGTCTCTCTCTCGACTGTCTCAAGCTGAGGTGCCTTCTACGCAGCCAGAAGATGAGGGGTTTGACATCTGTGACGAGCCTGGGCAGTGAGTCTCTGACGAAGATTCCTCACTTTCTGGATAAGATTCTGTTCCATGGTGTCCCATTCTACTGCTCTTCTATTTAAAGAAACTTGAAAATGAAATTTAAAATTTAGAAAAGCTGAGTTTTCTGATGTTAGCAATGATACAGCATTTATTTTAAAGATAAATGTGCTGTAAAAATAAATAATGAAATGCAATTCTAAAACCCAAATTTTACATATTACCTGGCCCTAGGTGGTTCCATTTACAAGCCAAATAATTATTTGTTGGACCGAATGAATGCTAACAGAGAACTTCTCTGCTTTGAAATACTTGGGATATAAACAATCTTTCTGAAAAACTGTTTTTCCTCCCAAAGAAATCCAGCTTTTATGCTTTTGTATTTTGCTGCCAAATAACCTAAGGTTACCAAATAACCATTTTAAAATTTAGAATTATCTAGTTAAAAATTTAAGTTTTGATATGTCAGAATAGAGAATCTCTCTATAGCTGAGAATCTCTCATACTTCATCTGACTCTTGAATGATTTTTGGTTTAATTCATATTCTGGCACAGAATTTATAGATGCATGTAAAAATATGAGTTAGCAAAAATATTTTACACAATACTGGAATCTCCTGACTTGGTATGAGGTATATTTCTTATAAAGCTCTTCTTTTTGGGACATTGTATAAAAGAACTCAGAAGATCTTGTTAAATTCTGCTTCACCTATATGGCAGTTTTATTGAAAATAATTAGTTGAAAGAAAGTTGAACAGAGTGTCTTGTCTCCTCCTCCCTTTTAAGAATAAATAATACACTTTACTGGGAAGACTGTTAGCTTCTTTATGGATGGCCTAATGCTGTGACTACATTTCTGTAAGATGTTTCTACTCTGTCCCTTCTAAAAAACCCAAAACCTTCCAATGAACCACGTCCAGGGATCAAAACTCAGCATGAAGCCATTTGCCTTTGGCAGTTCTACTGCTGGTAGGGCCCAGAATTCCACTGGAGTGCCCAGCATGTTTTCAATGGTTGCTGGAGGGCACCCAGCCCAGATGAACAGAGTTAAGAAAATTCAACTATGCAATAGCTTTGAAAAACAACGCTGAGATTTTTTTCATAAGGATGTCAAATTAGTTATTAATTTCATGTTATCAATCTAGTTAGAGACTTCTGTTAGAACCTCCAACTACGTTTTTGGGCAGCAGCGCTGGTGCTCAAGAAATGGAGTGGCTTTAGTGGATTCACATTTTCTTTACTTGGAATTTGGTCTGCACCCAGTTTTCCCACTGGGAAATATGAGAGAATCTTGCTGCCTCCCTTTTAGGATTTTCATTATCAGTGCCCTGGGAAAATGGCATCCACATGCTATAAACATAATTTACACCACAATTTTGCTTAAATATCGTTACATTTAAAATGGCAGAATAATTTTCTTATCAACTTACTCTGCGTTGAGGGATGCATTTCAGAAGAGTCATTTAAATGTGAGGTTCTAGGCAAACAGCTTGCGTCCTCCTGTTCGTTTTGGAACCTGGGTTCTTCTGTTATAAAAGTGAGGAGATCAAGATGATGTTTGGGAGTGAGTAGAAAGGCTTACTAATTCCAAATGGTCCCTAGTAAGTTAAAATCACCAAGGATGGCTAAAAACTCCTTTCTTTTCTATTTTAAGAAGAATGCTGTCAACATTCAAAAGGCAAGGAAGTGTCATTAGTGAGAATTAAGAGCTGAGCTGATTTCTGTAAAACATACTTCAAAAACAGTTTCAGCTAAAACACAAAGCCAACAAACTCAAACATATGGATATTAAGATAGAGATTATGAAATGTGATTAGCAAAGCTTCCCTGGAAATGATTGTGAGCTGATCACTACTGGTTTTAGACAGGCAGGGCCTCATCAAAACATTCAGCCAATCAGAGCCAGCCACAGGCAAGTTTGACCTGAAACCTTCTTAGAGTAGCAGGCAGAGCAGTGCCCTAGCAACCGGTGGTGCCTCCCGGTACTTTTATCAACTACTCTCCTCATCTAAAAACTTACACTCACCCTCAGCCGTGGTTTTACTGTTTCCTAACTCCTACAGCAGCACATCCAGTATGACACCAAGGTGATTTTAAAAACATTTGCATCCTGACATTGCTTGTAATGGTCCCTTCCTTCTACTCCCACCACTAGCGTCTAAGCCTCCATGTGTCGAGCCCAGAATGCTGGGAGTCTCATTGAACCGGTAAGATGTCTGCCTTTTACCTCTCTAAAAAGCTTTAGATAACGGTTTTAACTCACAGTTTTAGCTCAATGAGTCATTAAGGTAATGTGACTAATCACCAAATGACTAATTTGAACTGGTGGGGGACTGGAATCTAGGAGTCATCTTCAAACCTCTGAAGGGCTGGACATGGTGGAGGTAGTAAACATAGCCTGCAATCTGCACTGTTCAGAGAACAGAGAAAAGAGAAAGCAGATTGAACTATTTTACGAAAAAATAACACTTCTTTTTTTTTTAGATGGAATCTCGCTGTCACCCCAGGCTGGAGTGCAGTGGCGTGATCTCAGCTCACTGCAACCTCCACCTGCTGGGTTCAAGCGATTCTCCTGCCTCAGTCTCCAGAGTAGCTGGGATTACAGGTGCGCGCCACCATGCCCGGCTATTTTTAGTAGAGACGAGGTTTCACCATGTTGGCCAGGTTGGTCATGTTGGCCATGTCAGCCAGGTCGAACTACTGACCTCAGGCAATCCACCCGCCTGCCTCCCAAAGTGCTGGGATTACAGGTGTGAGCCACTGCGCCTGGCCCGAAATAACTTTGAAATAAAATACTTGTAGCAAATGGACTAAGGTCATAAACTTCCCAGTCTACCAGCATTTTGGCCCAAGCAGCCTGGCCACTGCTATACCTGCTGCACAGATAAGATGGGAATCAGGTGTGGTTCCTCAGATCTTTTTAAAGTTTCTTTATTTTTCAGAGACAGAGTCTCACTATGTTGCCCAGGCTGGTCTTGAACTCCTGGGTTCAAGCCATCCTTCCGCCTCAGCCTCCCAAATTGCTAGGATTACAGGTGCCACTGTGCCCAGCCAGAGCTGAGATCTCACAGCTCCCTCTCATCTGTCCTCCAAAATTCAACCTGCCCACTCCTGTTCAGTTCATCTTCCCAAAGGGCTATGTTGTAAATATTATCTCTGTTCAAACAACTAATGATTTCCTTTTGTCTCCAGCAATGTTTCAAACACTGGCTGGGGAGATTCACCCGTGAAACTTTAAAACAAAAATCTAGCTCCCTAGTTTCTACCCTAGAGCTACCGATAGAATTATTACTATTATTAGACCTACTGAATGAAATCACTATTGGTGAGGTCTTGAACATATGTATTTTTTGAACATGTATGGGTTTTTTTTTTTTTTTGAGACAGAGTCTCACTCTGTAGCCCAGGCTGTAGTGCAGTGGCGAGATCTTGGCTCACTGCAACCTCCGCCTCCTGGGTTCAAGCAATTCTCCTGCCTCAGCCTCCTGAGTAGCTGGTATTACAGGTGTGTACCACTACTCCTGACTAATTTTTGTATTTTTAGTAGAAACAGGTTTTCACCATATTGGCCAGGCTGGTCTCAAACTCCCAACCTTGTGATCTGCCCATCTTGGCCTCCCAAAGTACTGGGATTACAGGAGTGAGCCGCCTGGCCCAAAAATGTCATTTTCTTAATGGTAGGTGATTGCCTCCTGGTTTTAGGATTAAATGAATCTGATTAAATCTATATACCCTGATTAAGAAAATGACTGACAGATCATTCAGTCATAAACTTAAGACTTTTGAAAACTGGATGTTTATTAATCAAATTCTCTCCAGTGGTGAAATTTAGCAACGTTCAAAAATATACACGGTTGACTGGTCTGACAAAAAAATTTAGCTAGCATGGAAGGAAGACATCATGGAGGCAGAGGGGCAAACGTGTAGGAAAACCACTGATGAGGAAAGGAAAGCTTTTTTTTTTTTTTTTTTTTTTTTTTTACAGTTTCTTACCTTTCTCTATTTCTACATAGATAGCGCTCTAAATATTTTCTATTTTTATTTCTAAAACAAGGGTAAGGCTGGGCGTGGGGGCTCATGCCTGTAATCCCAGCACTTTGGGAGAGCCAGGCAGGAGGATCACGAGGTCAAGAGATCGAGACCATCTTGGCCAACATGGTGAAACTCTGTCTCTACTAAGAACACAAAAATTAGCCGGGTGTGGTGGTGGGCGCCTGTTATCCCAGCTACTTGGGAGGCTGAGGCAGGGGAATTGCTTGAACCTGGGAGGCGGAGGTTGCAGTGAGCTGAGATCGCGCCACTGCACTCCAGCCTGGCGACAGAGTGAGACTCCGTCTCACAAAAACAGACAAACACACACACACAAAATCAAGGGTAAGTGTGAGAGGGTGAGGGAGAAGTGACAGCTCCCATGGTTGTTATCTTTTGTAAGCCAGTTTTAAATATTTAATTTGTGCAGGGTCACATTCTACTCTTCTCCACTTCCCCGAAGTACCCTTGGTGCTATCTGGGACCACTAAATCTCAAATATGAGCGGTAATGAGGGGTTTTAAAAGCAGGCATGATTTGGCCGGGTGAGGTATAATCCCAGCACTTTGGGAGACCAAAGCAGCCAGATCACTTGAAGCCAGGAGTTTGAGACAAGCCTGGGCAACGTGACAAAACCCCATTTCTACTAAAGATTAGCTGGGCATGGTAGCATGCGCCTGTAGTCCCAGCTACTCAGGAGGCTGAGGCAGGAGAATCGCTTGAATGCAGGAGGCAGAGGTTGCAGTAAGCCAAGATTGTGCCACTGCACACCAACCTGGGCAATGGAGTGAAGTTCTGTCTTTAAAAAAAAAAAAAAAGTAGGCATAATTAAATGACCTAAACTATATTTTCACTCTTCAAATTTGTGAAATGGAAAAGTAATGCACACAGCATATTCATGAAGCCAAAAACTGGAAAGAATCCAAATGTCCCATCAACTGATGAATAGATTGAAAAAACATGTAATATCCACACAATGGAATATTATTCAGCAATAAAAAGGAATGAAGTGCTGATATATGCTACAACATGGTTGAATCTCAAGACATTATGCCAAGTACAAGAAACCAGACACAGAAGACCATATATTACATGCATTTGCATGAAATTTCCTGAATAGGTGAATGGACACAAGGTAGTGAGTGGTTGCCAAGGGCTTGGGGGAGTGAGTGGAAATGGGGAGTGACTGCTAACAGGTACTGGGTTTATTTTGGAGTGCTGAAAAATCCTCTAAATTTTCTTGTGGTGATGGCTGCACGACTCTGTAAGTGTATTTTTTAGTACATGATAATATAATGCCATTGAATAATACACTTTAAGTAGGTGAATTAGGCTGTGTGCGGTGCTGGGCACTCCTGTAATCCCAGCACTTTGGGAGGCTGAGGCAGGTGGATCCCTGAGGTCAAGAGTTTGAGACCAGCATGGCCAACATGGCGAAACCCCATCTCTACTAAAAATACAAAAATTAGCCAGGCATGGTGGCTTGGGACTGTAATCCCAGTTACTCCGGAGGCCGAGGCATGAGAATCACTTGAATCCGGGAGGTGGAGGTTGCAGTGAGCCGAGATCATGCCACTGCACTCACTCCAGCCTGGGACACAAGAGCGAAACTCTGTCTCAAAAAAAAAAATTAATAAATAAATAAAAAGGTGAATTATAGGGCATGTGAATTATGTATCAACAAAGCTATTATTTTAAAAAGCAACCTATTCACATTATAAAAGGCAACATAGTAAAATAAAAGTGCCTTGTTAACTGTACTCTAGAATTTTATGGAAAACTTTTTTTTTTTTTAAAGAGACAGGGTCTTGTCTGTTGCCCAGGCTAGAGTTCAGTGGTATGATAATAGCTCACTGCAGCCTCAAACTCCTGGTCTCAAAGAGATCCTCCTGCCTCAGCCTCCAGAGTATTTTCGAGTTTTAAATTATAATTTTGATTTTTCAGTTGATGCCACTATAAGCCTTGTACTGAAACCTAGTGTTGGATCAGATCCTATGAGCAGTTTCCCTGTGGTACTTGAATATACTGTTGTTCTGAGGACCAGCTTTTGGCAAAGCACGTATTTCACCTTGGAACAACAGAATCAAACAGAACTCCACAGGACAGTCTGCACAAACTTCTTCCTCCATTGGGACTCTGTTTTTGTAATAGTCCCTCCTCAGCCCACCCTTTCCCACCAAAAATATAGTAACCGGTGATCACCTTTTACTTGAGCAGTAGATTGAATAGAAGTGCCAAAATACATCCCAATAATTTATTCATTGGCCAGGCACAGTGGCTCACGCCTATAATCCCAGCACTTTGGGAGGCCAAGGCGGGAGGATGGTTTAAACCCAGCAGGTTGAGACCAACTTGGGCAACATAGTGAGATCTCATCTCTACAAATAATTTAACAGATTAGCTGGGTGTGGGGATGCACGCCTGTGGTCCCAGCTACTTGGGAGGCTGAGATGGGAGAACTGCTTGAGCTCAGGAGGTTGAGGCTGCACTGAGCCATGATTGCATCACTACACTCCAGCCTGGGTGACAGAACAAGACCCTGTCTCAAAAAAAAAAAAAAAAAAAAAAAAAAAATCATAATAATAGACCCTACTAAAAGAATAAATCTGTAACATCATGGAGAGAAAGGCCTCTCAGACACTCACCTTTATGACATGGATTTTCAGCATGTTCTACAGCTGCATTTATCTCTTGCTTTAAAAACCACTTTCTAGATGCATCTGAAAGAGCAGACGCTTTCTTTGCTGATCTCAAACAGAACTCTTTTCCTTCAGCTTCCTTCCACTAAATTCAAATAAATGGAAAAAAAATTACATAAAAAGTATAGTAATACACATCTCACAGTAGAATGAGCCCCTTCTGTCTTCTCTATCCGCTTTCCTTTATATTCCCATGGCAAGTAGGATCCGTTTGGTGTTATGGTAATTGGGGTGCCTATGTTGGCCCAAGGCTATTAGGAGCCTTGAAAGCAGAGGCAGGTTTTATCCAACCCGCAGTACTACAGAGTGCCACAAAGCACACAACTATATCCCAATAGTTGCTGAAATAATATTGCATTTCAGTAAGTTTCAAATCTCAAATCTTACAAGACTAAGCTAGGTTTGTATTCGTGGCAATTGCATTTTATTTAATTTGAATGCTACATCTTAATAATAAAATCTACAAAATTCAGAGAATGAACTCTTTGCCCAGCTCTCGTCCACATGATGACCACAGGGAAGTCAAGTGATCTCTATTCACCCCTATTTTCTTCTCCATAAAATGGGAAAATAATAATCTTAAAATTAGCTCAGAAGGTAACTAAAATATATTTAAAATCCAACTCCTAAAGTTTGCCAAAATTCTGGAAAAGCTACAGCTTTTACATGGAAACACATTATTTTTATGTTATAGAAATAATGCATTAAATAACAAAAACTTTAAAAAAAATCACAAAATAGGAGGGCAAGGAAGGATCACAGATATCCATCCCTTTCATGTTACTGATGAGGGGGCTGATTCTGAGCAGCTTCCCAAGGCCACGCAGTGGTCAAATCAGCTTTATAACACAGGACACTAGATAGACAGAAGGAAGGATTTCTGCAGAACGTGAAAGGCCCTTACAATGATTCTCAGTCAACTCTCAAAAATACCATTTTACCCAAAGTCCAGCAGCAGTGAATTTCACACAGTCTAGCCCTAGTGTCAGCAATGTTTATGTTGAGAATGTGAGTTTCCACCCCAGTTTTCCTGAGAACAGCCTCAGGGTTCTGGGTATTACTCCCACCCTCTCCAAGCCCTTCTTCCTGTCCTAGAATGAAAGGGTTATAAGATAAGGCTCCATGCCACTGGGATGGGGTAGGAGGAAAACGAATCTGGAATAGTGACTTGAAGGAAATACACTGTAAGAAGCCAGCTTTCAGAATAGACACTGTGATACAGCAACAGAGAGAAGCAATTAAGCCAGGTATCTAGATCTTGATCTTTCCCCAGCTCCTCAGTGTCCTTACAAAAGTCTATGGTACCTGCAAAAATATCTCCAGAGCACAGATCCCAGAGTCTTTGGAAGGAGCAACCAAAAGATAGACACGTGTGACATATACTATTAATTACCTCCTCGGACTCCATTCTTTGATTCTTCTTTAGGAATAGAATCTTTTGTTTTTATTTTTAGCTATCCTATTAACTGATAGGAAAAGAATCTTAATTTTATTTGGGATGATAATGCTCCCTGTGAAGAATATTATTTTTCTCAGCATCCTTTGCTGACAAATGTGGCTCGAAATATGATGTGGGACTCCTGGAAAGAAGTTAGAAGGGAGTGTGACTCAGGTGGGAGGCAGAACATTCGCACTTGTGCTCTCCCTTCTCCCTGCTGTCTGCAGTGGGTATGTGATGGCTGGAACTCCAGGAGTCATCTTGGATGGTCAGGTAACCTTGAAAATGAAAGCCATACACTAAGAAGAAGTGCAGAAAGGCTGAAAGAGGACATTTCCCTGATAACGGTGGAGCCCCAGTACTAACCCTGGACTCCCTACCTCCAGACTATATATCTATCCTGTTCCTAGTCACTGTAGTGTGGGGTTTTGTTACTAGCAGCTACAGACCATTTCTACCTATTCAGCATCTTTTACATTGTAAGTATAAAGAATGAGCTAAATTAAAGCACTAATATTATTCAAGCAGCCAGAACAAAAATCCAGGAAGTTGAGAAATTGAAGCACACTAATGTAAATGAGAAAGACGCTTAATCATTTTTTTGTAGAATCAATATTAGATGACTTCTCTGACAAACACCTATTAAAATCAGATTATCTCTTCCAGCAAGAATGACTTGGTTTGACGCTTTTGTCATTTGACTCTGTGCTACTTCAAAATTTCAGTGCTTAGGCTGGGTAAAGGGGCTGACGTCTGTAATCCCAGCACTTTGGGAGGCTGATGCAGGGGGATCGCTTAAGGCCCGGAGTTCGAATTTTGAGGCTGTTCAACCAAGTGAGACTCTGTCTCTTTAAAAAAAAGAAAAAACAAAAAAACCCAATGCTTGATATAACAAAAAGCTGATAACACTAGTTTTACCTTCTTGGCTTCCTGCTCCACCATTGCATTTAATATCTCTATTTCTTTCCTTCTGTTTTCCCTAAGGAGTTTGGCTACTTCCTGGTAACATTTGTTTCGTTGTAGATCATCACATTTTTGTTTATGTAAAGACTGAATCTGCCAGTCAGTATTTAGGCATGCTTGTTCAGCCTTTGCCAAATTTTCTTTAATCACCTAGGAAAAAGTTATATATTTCAGAAACAAGGTCAGACTGCTAACATATAAAATGAAGGTATAACCATTCAATGTATCCACATGTCTAGGGCGGTTGTTCACAACTCTGGCTGCATATTAGCATCACCTGGGAGTGTTTAAAATAAGCTAATGTCTGGGCCTCACCACAAGCCAATTAAACCAATCACTGGACAGCTGGGTACTGGCACCTTTAAAAAACTCTTCAAGTAGAAATTAGCTGGGTGTGGTGACGGGTGCCTGTAGTCACAGCTACTAGGGAGGCTGAGGCAGGAGAATTGCTTGAACCCAGGAGGCGGAGGTTGCAGTGAGCTGAGATCATGCCACTGCACTCCAGCCTGGGTGACAGAATAGGACTCAGTCTCTACATTAAAAAAAAAAAAAAAGCTCTTCAAGTGATTCTAATTTACAGCCAAGGTTAAGAACTTATCAGCTAGGGGATGGGTGGGATTCAACAATTTCCATGTTTTCAGCACTCTGAAGAAGAGCCCATTTTAACAGACTGGACGAAAGCCTATTAAAAAAAAAAGGAATATCTTGAGGAAATCACCTAAGAGACTGTTGTAGAACAGAAGGTATCTACTGTACACTATTCCTGGTTTTCGGAACAGGAGCAGACCGGTACACATACCCATTTAACATTGTGTTAAAGACGTAATAGAGAAAGCTCTTCTTTGAAAGTCTCAAGTTCTATTTCAATTCACTTAAGTCAGCATTTCTGAAAGCGTACTCCATAAGAAATTCTCTGAAATACATCTGGGAAATTTTCTTAAATATTCACAAATGTACAGTATCCTCAAATTTGGCATGAAAAATACCTCACTTTAAGACAGCATTTCCAATACTTACTTGACCATCCCCCATCTTATTGAATAATAGTTAATAGTCCACACAATACACTTGGAAGTGCTGGCTTACATACCAGGCAGGGACCTGATGCTTTGAACCTAATCAACTCAGGGACAGTTTTCAGAGGCAGAACATAGAAGGACAGTATAATTTGTTTTGTTTTGTTTTGTTTTGTTTTGTTTTTTGAGACGGAGTCTCCCTCTGTCGCCCAGGCTGGAGTGCAGTGGCTGGATCTCAGCTCACTGCAAGCTCCGCCTCCCGGGTTCACGCCTTTCTCCTGCCTCAGCCTCCCAAGTAGCTGGGACTACAGGCGCCCGCCACCTTGCCCGGCTATTTTTTTGTATTTTTTAGTAGAGACGGGGTTTCACCGTATTAGCCAGGATGGTCTCAATCTTCCGACCTCGTGATCCGCCCATCTCGGCCTCCCAAAGTGCTGGGATTACAGGCTTGAGCCACCGCGCCTGGCCAGGACAGTATAATTTGTAAAGTCACTATTCCTTTGTATTTTCTTCTAAGTCACTACTCCTTCGTATTTTCTTGTAAGTCACTATTCCTTTGTATTTTCTTTGAGGAAATTCCTTTGTATTTCCTCAAACTGTAGGAAAAAGACATGCATATGATTGTCAGTGAAGTAAACATCCTATATATAAAAGGAAACAATGTGAGATTCTAGGAACTGTGACAACTGAAGCAAAGAAACAAACTAATTCAACTTTACAGAGTTTAATTTCGATTTTGTTCTCTTAATAGGGTGACAGATGAAAATTTCTCTTCTGCATATACACTAAATGGATCGTATTTTTACCTTCTGAGTTTTCTGACTCTGTGTTTCACCTGCTTCTATCAGCTTATGAAACATGTGTTCTTCAAGATCCACTTTTCGTCTATAGGCATCTGCATCTGCTCGCATTTCTTTTGCAACAGCTGCTTGATTTTCAGTAAGATTCTGTTAAAATCATTTGTAAAAAAAAAAAAACAAAAAAAACCACTGATTTATATAATGCTAGAATACAAAAACAACTTTTTTCAGAATAGTAATATGCACACAAATAAAAGCTGCAATCATCTAATTTTCAAAGTAAAATGCGAAGACTGGAGAGATCAGCAAAAATGGCAGAGTAAGGACCCCTGGAAATCCTCTCAACCATAAAAGCATTGAGAACATGGATTAAAAAACAAGTCAAAATGAACTTTTTCAGCATTCTGGAAATTAACCAAAGGCTTGGAGCTATCTGGGGAGCATTTACTTATAAAAATGGCTGAATCTCAGTAAAAACAGCTAGCTCTCTGACATTTCATCTTGCATTTTTCCTGTTCCCACCCCACTCCCAAGCTATGCATTAGTCTTTTTTTTTGTTTTGTTTTGAGACAGAGTCTCACTCTGTTGCCCAGGCTGGAGTGTAGTGGCACGATCTCAGTTCACTGCAACCTCCCCCTCCCGGGTTTTCAAGTGATTCTCCTGCCTCAGCCTCCTGAGTAGCTGGGATTACAGGTGCCCACCACCAGGCCTGGTTAACTTTTTTTATATTTTTAGTAGAGATGGGGTTTTACCATGTTGGCCAGGCTGGTCTCGAACTCCTGACCTCAAGTGATCAGCCTGCCTTGGCCTCCCAAAATGCTGGGATTACAGGTGTAAGCCACGGTGTCCGGCCTATGCATTAGTCTTGACAACCAGCAGCCTGGAAGCCAAGCAAAATGGGGTTGGACAGAGCTCCTTCAAACCACCATTGCTGGAGAACTGTCATTGTTTGAGTTTTCTCGTGGTTCCCTGAAAGACCACTCCTAAGGCTGTGTTTTTAAAATCTCACTCAGAGCTTGCCTACTGCAGAATAGTCTTATCCCTGGAGAAGTTGTTGAAAACAATTAGAGCAAACTGTTGAATATCTTGGCTGCTTGGGGCAGTGGATCTTGGGAGAGCAACCAATAGGCTAAGCAAAAAGCTTAACAGGAAAAACTGGAGAATCAGATGTCCACAGGAGGCTTAAAAAATCTCAGATAGATTCCTGGAAGGTCATGTGCATGTGTAAGGCTGTGCATATGCTAAGGGTCGTGTTCTCAGACCTGAGAAAGACCTAAGATCTCACACTTCTGGTTAACTCTGAGGTTTTGCATAACCAGGAAGTGGAATCTAAGAAGTAGCAACTGCCTAGCTGAGTGATAAAGGCGTGCCCTAACATGCACACAGAGCTCCTCAACAACTACTAGAAGCTTACTGGTTCAAAGAATCTATTAAAATCTCTGTCCAATCATTTGCTGACCCCCAAACTACCTGAATAGAGACATCAGTGGCTATATACGACAAAAGATACGGACTTTCAAAACTAGTTCAGAAAAGTCACTAAGCAAAGAAACAAGAAGAAACCCTGGGGAGGGGAGACAATCTTATTTCCAAAATTGCCACATTATATGCCAGACGGTCCTATAGTTGATGTAATAATTTTCTTATTTTATGATGGGTCTATCAGGGTGTTACATGAATTTTCAACTTACAATATTTCTAACTTATGATGAGCTTATTAGGACATAACCCCATCATAAGTTGGGGAGCACTGTATTCAAAATGTCTAGTTTTCAACAAACAATCACATGATTGTTTGAAAAAAAACAAGAAATATGGGACAGGCATAGTGGCTTATGCGTCTAATCCCAACACTTTGGGAGGCCAAGGTGGGAGGACTGCTTGAGCCCAGGAGTTTGAAACCAGCATGGGCAACATAGCAAAACCCTGTCTCTATAAAAACTACAAAAATTAGCAGGGCGTGATGGTACGCACCTGTAGTCCCAGCTACTTGGGAGGCTGAGGCAGGAGGATTGCTGGAGCCTGGAAGGCAGAAGTTGCAGTGAGTTGAGATCATGCCACTGCACTCCAGCCTGGGCAACAGAGCAAGACTCCATCTCAAAACATAACTTCTGTTGTAAGACTGCCACAGATTAAAGTTATGCACTCCTATGGATAACTTAAATCTTCTCATGAAGAAACAACAGCCAAACGCTAATTAAGGGACATTCTACAAATTATCTGGCTTACATGTTTCAAAAAATATCAATGTCATAAAATACAAAGAGTCAGGAACTTATCTCATTTTAAAGGAGACTAAAATGATGACAACAAAACAATGGATGAGCTCTCAGATTTTCTTTTGCTCTAAAGGACATTTTGGATACAATGGATCAAATCTGAATAAGGTTTATATATCAGATCATCTTATGTTAATTTCTGATTTTGAGAACCGTACTGTGGTTATATAAGAGGACTCCTTGGTCTTAGGAAATATACACTGAAGTATTTAGGGGTAAAGGAGCATCGGGACTGTAACAGTTCAGAAAAACAAGTATATATTTGTGTGTACATATGTGTATAGGTAGAGAAAAAGAGGAAGAGAAAGCAAATTTAGTAGAATGTTAGTGTTTAAAAATCTGAGAGACAAATATCTGGAAATTCTTAGTACTTTCCTTGCAAATTCTCTGTTAGTTCTAAAATTATACCCTTCAATTGCCACTATCCTCCACCCCTAAAGAAAAGATAGTAAAAAGTAAAGTTTAGCTTAGTCCACATGAATTACATCTAATTCCAAATCATGGGAGACTCAGCCAAACTATAAATCCCTTGCTCAGTTCTAGAAGAAATTCAGTGTGGAGACTTTAAAAGTGTTATAGGTGTAAATGGATGCTATATGGTTTAAATCTCACCTAATATGGCTATCAAACATATATGTTATGTATTATGAATTCACAGTTATCGCTAATTTCAAACTAAAAGTATGACTTTTTTTTTGAGACAGGGTCTCACTCTGTCACCCAGGTTGGAGTGCACAATCTTGGCTCACTGCAGCCTCCGTCCCCCAGGCTCAAGTGATCTTCCCACCTTGGCCTCCTGAATAGCTGGCACCACAGGTGCACACCACCACATTTGGCTATTTCTTTGTATTTCTAGTAGAGATGGGGTGTTGCTGTGTTGCCCAGGCTAAAAAGTCTGACTTTTTACGTGGGCTGAAAGAAGTGAAAACGTACAGTTTCAACACTAAATGAGTAACAAAACATTTTTCCTAAATAATAAAAATTTATATTAACAAAGCTCCTTTTTTTTTCCAGTGTCTTGAAAACTGAACAGTAAGTACTAAGCAGATATTTGCTGATTTAACTCCAGATGATTCCAATGTAAAGTAATTTACAGGCCAGGCGTGGTGGCTCATGCCTGTAATCCTAGCACTTCGGGAGGCCGAGGTGTGCAGATTGCTTGAGCCCAGGAGTTTGGGACCAGCCTGGGCAACAAGGCGAAACCCTATTTCTACAAAAAACACAAAAATTAGATAGGCGTGGTGGCGCATGTCTGTAGTCCCAGCTACTGGGGAGGCTGACGTGGGAGAATCACTGGAGCAGGGGAAGTGAAGGTTGTAGTGAGCTGAGATGATGCCACTGTACTGTAGCCTAGGCGACTGAGTAAGACTGTCTCAAAAATAAATAAATAAAAATACAAATAAAGAAAGAAAGTACTTTACAGCTCCTGACTGATTTACCTTTCAGGATCCTTGTGAGGTATTGAGATAATTTTGTAGTCACTATTACATAATTACAGGAAAATTTAGTAAGTTGGTAAAAAATCCTGAGGCAAAATCTGGGGCCTACATCTGGTGCTTCAGACACTAGACTAAGCTGCTAACAGAAACATGAATTAAATAATTACAACAAACTGTACATTCAGACATTTTGGCTACCTTACAATCCTGCATGGCACTATATTCTGCTTAAAAAGTGAATAAAACGAACGCTAGAAAACCATGAATAAATACAGTCTAAAATGGGTTTATGCAAACCCTGCTTTTCTTTTTCTTTCTTTCTTTTTTTTTTTTTTTGAGATAGGGTATCGCTCTGTTTGCCCAGGCTGGAGTACAGTGGTGTGATTATGGTTCACTGCAGCCTCGAACTCCAGGGCTCAAGTGATCTTCCTGCCTTTGCCTCCTGAGTAGTTGGGACTACAGGTAAGCATACCCAGCTAAATTTTTTAATTTTTGGTAGAGATGGGGTCTCACTATATTGCCCATGTCTGGTCTGGAATTCCTTAGCTCAAGTGATCCTTCTCCCACCTCAGCCTCCCAAAATGCTGGTATTACAGGTTTGAGCCACTGAGCTTGGCCAAAACCTGCTTTTCTTATGTTGGAAATAACTGAATTATACCTTCTCATAAAGTCTCTTTTGCGATTCGAGTTCCAGCTGTCTCATTTCTAGGTCTCTGGCTGTGGCAGCAATTTCTCGATCTCTCATATATACCTATGGCCAAACAACAAACTGTGAATACCAAAAAGAATTTACAAAATAATTTTTAATAGATTTAGTAATCCTGTAATCTGAACGACCTACTAACAGTATTTAAGATAACAGCAATCGGGTTTTTGAAACCAGAGTAACTGACAAAGATTAATACTCACTGCAGAATCTAGGAATAATCTCTCAGTTAAAGTGAAGTTTAATTTAAGAATAAAAAGCACAATACCATATGCCCATCTACTCAGACTGGAAGAACAGATAGCAGTTCTTACAGTATTACAGTAACCAATATCATGAGTTAGAAAAACTTGAGCAATTTAAATCTGGGGTAGATAAAAATATAACGTTTATTTAATGTTCTTTTTGACTAAACTTCTCTACTTTTATAAGTTCGGCTTGACAATTACCAATTCTAGGTTTAAATTTCTTGCAGATGGTTCGACCTGTGTGTATTCTGCTCCAAGTGAATTAATTTAGAGTTCGCCTATTTCCAAAATTTGATTAGTTGGAAGTTTTTTATTCCTATATACTAGAGGGTTTGCATATGGGATATGGCACTCTCTAGAGACTCTTAGAAATGATCTTAGATATAAGGTGAAATGTTAGATATTGTCATTATGGTAAAAGACATGCTATCAAATACTTAAAATAGGAGAAACAGTAAATGAGAACATAGTTGGATGTGCAAACATATATATCCAAAGGCTAAAAGAGAAACATGGACCAGGACCAGCTCAATTTAAAGAGGTTATTAGGAAAGGAGCTAGCTCAAAGGTGGGGGGAAGCTTGATTGTATGAAGTAAGAACAGCAATAGTGACAGGAAGTGGAGGAGAGGTGTGGCATAGCAAATCACGCTTTTTAGGAATTTCAATTACTGAGCTCTTTTGCTTATGAATTTTCAGAGATACAAACAGCTATGTACCACAGCAAAAACCGATCGGCTTTGCTTGCTGCTAACAGATGTTCACAGTCACATGTACTTGTCATTTCAGATTCAAGCAGCCTTTCCTGCTAGAGCCTGAACCACGAGACGAACTTTTGCGGTTTGGCAGGGTCAGAGCACAACATCAGAACAGGCAGCTGGGAGGACAGGAGGCTGGAAGGGTAGGCAGAGGCCAGATCATGTTGCTGAAAGGAGTTTATAGAATTCTTGGACCAAAAAGTGCCGCCTCCTGTTTCAAAGGGGTTTGGAATAAAGACATCAGAGTTCTGAGCTTACTTTGTGGGAAGAACATACACTTTTCTATAGTAATGAAATATCAATCTCATTCACTAGACGAGAAAATTAAAAGAAATCTTGGATTTTGAAAACCAATTTAAAATTAACAAGGCTTAAACAAAACAATAAGTATGATGCTATAAAGAGATAATAGATTTCTAATACATATGAATTAAAAATACTTTGAAAGACTTAGGCCAGGCGCCTGTAATCCTAGCACTTTGGGAGGCTAAGGTGGGCAGATCACTTGAAGTCTGGAGTTCAAGATCAGCCTGACCAACATGGTGAAACCCCGTATCTACTAAAAATACAAAAATTAGCTGGGTGTTGTGGCAGGCACCTGTAATCCCATCTTCTCAGGAGGCTGAGGCACGAGAATTGCTTGAACCCGGGAGGTGGAGGTTGCAGTGAGCTGGGATTGCACCACTGTACACCAGCCCAGGTGACAGAATGAGACCCTGTCTCAAAAAAAAAAAAAAAAAAAAAAGACTTAAAAAATACTTCGTATTTTATCAAAACTAGGCTTGAAACTCTAAATTAGTGCATAAATTCAGTGCAATCCTAATAAAAATTCCAATGGGATTGGGAGAGGTGAGAATTCCAAAAGTGAAACAATTCTTAAAGTCTATTTGGAACGATGAACATTGGAGAACACTGACAAAAACTCTGAAAAGGAAGACTAATGAGTGAGAATTAGGACTAGTTAGTAAAACACTTCAAAGCTACTGTCATTCAAACAGTGTGGTACTGGCTTAGGAATAGAAAAAGCAAGGAAGGAGATCAAGTATGTAACAGAATTTAATATGTAAAAACCATCAGTTGGCAAATGACTTGGCTAATAGTCAGCAAACGGTGTTGGGACAATTGACTTGCCTTTTAGAAATAAGTAAGCTAACCTGACAGAAAGTTAAGTCTAACTTCACAGAAAGATGGACAAATGATACAAATATGTAATGTGTAATTCTACAAATGGAAGATAAGTAACAGAAAAGATACTTAACCTCACTAACAATAAAAAAAGGCAAATTAAAATAGACTATTTGTCATCTATCTGCTTGGCAAATATTAAGACTGATGCAGTACAATTGACTATACTAGGGGATGGGTACTCTTACGGTCTTAAAATAGCTTAAGCCATTTCATTTTTAGAGAACAATTTGGCATAATTTAGAAGTTACTCAACAAAAGTATGTGTGCAAGTAAAAAGACTTTTATGATGTAGCATGGTTATTTGCAAAACACTGCAAATAACCTAAATGTCCAACAACAAAGCATTAAATAAACTATTCATTCAATGGAATATTATACAACCACAAAAAAGAAATAGATACACATAACATACGAAAAGATATTCAACATATGTAATTTTAAAAAGCAGGTCACAAAAACAATGTATAATGAGAATAATCCCATTTTTGTATAAATATAGGAAAGCATGACTATAATTACTCCTCTATCTATAGAACATACCTGAAAGGCTATATAATTAACCTTTTTTTTTTTTTTGAGACTGAGTCTCGCTCTGTCACTCAGGCTGGAGTGCAGTGGCGTGATCTCGGATCTCGGCTCACTGCAGCATGTGCCTCCGGGGGCAAGCAATTCTCTGTTCTCAACCTCTTGAGTAGCTGGGATTACAAGCACCTGCCACCAAGCCCAGCTAATTTTTGTATTTTTAGTAGAGATGGGATTTTACCATGTTGGCCAGGCTGGTCCCGGACTCCTGACCTCAGGTGAACTGCCCGCCTCGGCCTCCCAAAGTGCTATGATTACGGGCATGAGCCACCGCACCCAGCCAATTAACCATTTTTTAAAAGTGTTTCTCTGGGGATGATATGAGGACTGATGGAGAAAGTCCATTTTTAATTCTATATATTTTGTACTGGAAATTATTTTTATACTGGCCACAGATAATTTTTACATGAAAAAAGAATATGTCCCCTAATTAAAAATTAACTGCCAGGCGTGGTGGCTCACGCCTGTAACCCCAGCACTTTGGGAGGCCGACGTGGGCAGATCACCTGAGGTCATGAGTTCGAGATCAGCCTAGCCAAAATGGTGAAATCCCATCTCATGAAAAATACAAAAATCAGCTGGGTGTGGTGGTGTGCGCCTGTAATCCCAGCTACTTGGGAGGCTGAGGCAGGAGAATCGCTTGAACCCGGGAGGTGGAGGTTGCACTGAGCTGAGATCACACCACTACACTACAGCCTGAGCAACAGAGTGAGACTCCGTCTCAAAAAAAACAAAAAATTAACTTAATGGCTAACTGATACTGATATTTCTATTTTTAGAGAAACAGTCACTAAGGACACTTGACTAATTTTCCTGGCATTTCTTAAATATTTAGCCATTCATGAAATACAAAAGAGAATGAGAAAAGCCGAGGGGAAAATAAAATTAAAGGGGCTATTTAGTATTCATGGTGGACTCTTTTTTTTAGAATATTATTTAATTTGAAGGCGTTCATTACATTTAAGTGAGAGTAAATGGAGATGACGTATGAGAACTAAGGTAAGAATAATAAACCTTTCTCCCAATTTCATCATCCAGTCTTCTTAGCTCCATTTCCTGTTGATCTTGCTGAAGCTTCAGAAAACGCCTTCTTGCAGCATCTTGTAAGTGCATTTCCTTTACTTGCAGCTCTCTTTTCACAGCAGCTAGCCTTAAATACAAAATACATCAAGTGGAACAAATAAAGCAATTCCTAATATGACTTAGTTTTTTCATAACAGGTCTACCATGCCCATCATTTCAATACAATTGCTATCCTTTATCTGAAAGAATGCCAGAACTGCTCTACCGTTACCAAAGATGATGTATACTTATGCTTTGAGAATTTTAGCAGAAAGCTACCGGCTCAGTTCAGTAATTCCTTTTAACCCGCACTCTAAATCTGTTACATAAAGTTCCGTCTAAGAATATGAATCAATAAACACAGAAGTGAGTTTCCCAACAATTGGGCTTAGTCTCAATGTTTATCCCATAACTTTACTTAATTTACACATTTTACCTTATTAACATACTTTTACGTATTTATTTTTAAGTTTTTTCTGTTTCTTTTTTAAGAGACAGGGTCTCACTATGTTGCCCAGGCTGGCCTTGACCTCCTGGGCTCAAGCGGTCCTACCTAGTAGCTGGGACTATAGGTATGTGGCACCACACCCAGCTAACATACTTTTGAATATGCATTTAATACTCATTCCTCTGTCCTCCAAAGTGTTAAATGAGTAATGACATAATCATTTTATGTTACAATTGTCAGGTCACACAGGTATGCTTAAAACACAATTAAAAAAATTATACTCCACTACAGGTGATGTACCCAGCACTCTATGACAAAGCATTTCTGCCCACTATAGAATAATGTTTCTAAATAATGTCCTTCCAGGAACATTAATCCGTGCAAATCTAGATTATATTCAGTATAGCTTTAGAATTATATTTTACTACATAGCAATTTTTTGAAAAGTGGTATATAAAGATTCTTTTTATTAACTTAATAGTTGCTTAATAGAAATGCCACAGCTGGGTAATCCTATATATAATGTTGTTCCTAAAATGAAAAAATGAAAGAGCATAAAAATTATTCAACCAATTTTTATGTCCAGATTTTTTTTTTAAAGGGATAACACATACCTCTGTCTTTGTTGTATGATTTTCTCCTCCTCTTGTAAGAGCATTTCTCTTCTTGTTTCTTCAGCTTTACGAAGCAGCTCCTGTTTCTGGCACCAAGCTTCATCTTCAACTCTTTGCTGGTCAACTTCAGCTTGCATATCTTCAACTGTCTGCCTTAAGTAGGTAATATTATTATGAAAACACAAAGAAGAAAGTTAAGTTTTAAATCCAAGAATCATCAAAACACAAAATGTATACCGATTAATGTATAATCCATTTTATTTCCATATGTAAGAATTAACTATCTTTAATATTTCTAGCCTTCAAACCCTGATTTTACACAAATACTCATAATGTGAATGTATTTTTCTTTTTTTTATTGAGATGAAGTCTCACTCTGTTGCCCAGGCTGGAGTGCAATGGCGTGATCTCCGCTCACTGCAACCTCTTCCTCCTGGCTTCAAGCGATTCTCCTGCCTCAGCCTCCTGAGTAGCTGGGACTTCAGGTGTGCGCCACTACACCCAGCAATATTTTGTATTTTTAGTAGAGACGGGGTTTCACTATGTTGGCCAGGCTGGTCTCGAACTCCTGACCTTGTGATCCGCCTGCCTTAGCCTCCCAAAGTGCTGGGACTATAGGTGTGAGCCACCACGCCCGGCCAAATGTATTTTTTCATTAAAACTTTCTTATTATGTTTAAAACACATTTTGTGGTATCAGAAAAAGAAAAACTATTCCATAATTACCTCTCTCTTAAGTAATCCAATTCATCATTCCTTATTCTTTCTCGTTCTTGTGTCTGATAGTCCACAATAAACTTTGGATATTGATTAAATACTGGATACTGCCCTTTTGTCAGTGCAACAAAAACATTAAGCATGCTGTCTGGATGAATGTCAGTAGGCGTGGTCTCCATGAGATGATAAACTTGTCTAATCACAACATTTATATCCAGGTTATTTCGATGGTGAAAAAAAAACTGTAAGAAAACTTGGTGTTTAAATTGAGATTTACCAGACAAATCAATTATGAGGTAGGTAGAATTAAAGCAAGAATTTTTTTAAAAAGTGAATCTATATTTAAGAATATACATTTTTTTGTAAATTCATTAAAGCTTTTCTTTACTCAAGTTTTACAATGAAGACAATTTATTTAAAAAATGTAACAGAGTTTCACAATCATAAGAAATTCTGACATAAAATTAAAAAATGAAGGCTTTTAATACAGTAGAAAAAGAATGCTTCAACTATGGAACAAATTCTGCTTGGATTTTTTTTTCTTCAAAATCCAAAATAAATTATAAATTAGCCTTTGAAAATAAATTAGCTTGATTCTTTAAAAATATCTGAAATGTTTCCACATTATCTTGTTTTGCTGGAAGATCCAAATTAACGTATCATGGGATCATGAAGTAAAAATAAAGTTTAATTGGACAGTAACCACTAAATAAGTAACACACACACATACAAGAACCCAACTAATTCATCTTGTCTACCAAAAGAGCATCTACTTTTTATAATGATCTTAATGCTTTCTTTCAGACACTTTCCTGCCAATTCTCAAAATTCTCATAGTTACCTTTTGCATGTGTAATAAGCATTCAGACTAAGACCAGATAGGTCATGATAAGATTATGCACAGAATAACAACACTCTAACTGTTAAACATCCTTTATAAAAGCAAAAAGCAGCCGGGTGTGGTGGCTCACGCCTCTAATCCCAGAACTTTGGGAGGCCGAGGCGGGTGGATCACCTGAGATCAGGAGTTCGAGACCAGCCTGGGTAACCTGGTGAAACCCCGTCTCTATCAAAAATACAAAAAACTTAGCTGGGTGTGGTGGCAGGCGCCTGTAATCCCAGCTACTCGGGAGGTTGAGGCAGGAGAATCACTTGAACCTGGGAGGCGGAGGTTGCAGTGAGCCGGGATTGCGCCATTGCATTCCAGCCTGGTCGACCTGGTAGACAGAGGGAGACTCTGTCTCAAAAAAAAAAAAAAAAAAGCAAAAAGCAAAAACCCCAATATTACCATGATTCTTTTCTTAAGCTATGATTATAAGACTACTAGCCTACTATAATTGCCTGTTTTATTGTCTATAAACTGTACACGGGTAGGGATGTGGTCTAACTTGTTATCCTTTATATTCCTACCACCTAGCACCAGTGTCTGACACATAACAGGGACTCAACAAATAAAAGGATCTTTCAAGTGAAATAACTGATATGGCCTGGCACAGTAGCTCACGCCTGTAATCCCAGCACTTTGGGAGGCAGAGGTGGGTGGATCACGAGGTCAGGAGTTTGAGACCAGCCTGACCAACATGGTGAAACCCCATCTCTACTAAAAATACAAAAATTAGCTGGGCGTGGTGCTGCGCACCTGTAATCCCAGCTACTCGGAGGCTGAGGCAGGAGAATCGCTTGAACTCGGCAGGCAGAGGTTGCAGTGAGCTGAGATCGCGCCATTGCACTCCAGCCTGGGCAACAGAGCAAGACTCTGTTCTCAAAAAAAAAAAAAAGAGAGAGAGAGAAATAACTGATATTTGAGAACCTTCTGTTAAGAACAAGGATCGTTACCTCAAAATCATCTTTAAGATTACAGTTGAGCAGAGGCACTCTAGAACATATGTTGTAGGCTACAACAGTCATCAGAAGGAAGGAAGGATGGTTGGAAAAGATATTATCAAACAGTTTCAGCCACTCCTCTCTCGTCAGCACTTCCGAGAACACAGTTTCAAGAAGAGGCCATGCATATAGCTAAAACAGATAAGGAAAAATTTATCATTTTTCTAGGGAAAAGTAAAAACAGAGTCATTGGTAATATTACCTTACATTCGATTTAAGCTATGAAAATCGTATTAAATACATAATTATGAAAATAACTACCTTAATTTGGACCCTTCTTTACAGACTTTCAGGAAGGCAGTTTAATGAAGAAAAAGAATGGAATACTGTTAAAAACACAACATGTAGTATGCTTTTTATTATACTCCTTCAAGAAAATACTGTTTATATCAGAACTAACGTTAGCTTACAAAATAAGGCATGTTATTCTAAAAACCTTATGCTTCTTACCTGGGAAGTTATATCATGATCTATGAAGTGTCGCAGCAGTTCCTTGTCATGAAATGCCAAAACATTTTCTATCATACTAAGAATATTGATAGGAGGATTAGGAAAATATTCAAACCAGTGTTGACACCAATTGACTATGAAGGAAAAAAAAGAAATGTATCTTTAAATATCTTTCTATGTTATCAAAAACCCTTGCAATTCTTAAATGTATCCAATCTTTATGTTTCCAATATGTCCATGAATAATAAAAAATATAACTCTTTATATTATATGACATCGATTTTAAAATTCTATCATGCTAACATAGTATGTTTGTAGAAATTTTGCAAATTTCCTTACAGTAGTCAATGAAAAAGTGTTAATTAAAACAAACAGACACAACTTCCCAAAATACTCCTGATGGCATTCTGGCTTCTGACTCCTGCTTTGTTCATCACCTAATTAACAAAATGATCTTTTTAAAAAGGGCCCCTATTAACCCTTCATTAAATGTAATCAACGTTAGCATGCCAAACTCCTCAAATTTACTAAAATTCATAAGTAACCAAAATTACAACCATATGTAACCAAAATTGTATATACTGTATCCCTTAATCCCTTAAACGTTATAATGACAATAAAAATGTCCTCATTTCGAGGAAAAGACTGATTGTTCTATAACCATGGTAACAAGGAATAACCAGTAAATAGTCACCAGGACTGGTTTTATATCTAATTGATCATTGACAATTTGTTTCAGTAAACTTGACTTGAAAACCAACCAATCTGGCTGGGTGCGGTGGCTCACACCTGTAATCCCAGCACTTTGGGAAGCCGAGGGAGGCGGATCACGAGGTCAGGAGATCGACACCATCCTGGCTAACACGGGGAAACCCCGTCTCCACTAAAAAGTACAAAAAATTATCCAGGCATGGTGGCTCGTGCCTGTAGTCCCAGCTACTCGGGAGACTGAGGCAGGAGAATGGCGTGAACCCGGGAGGCGGAGCTTGCAGTGAGCCGAGATCGCGCCGCTGCACTCCAGCCTGGGCAACAGTGCAAGACTCCGTCTCAAAGTCAGCTAGTCCAAAGTAGAATAAATTCAACTAACTCTAAGGCTGACATTGACTCACTTGCGCTCTGTAATCAGTAGAACGACCCACATATTGTTCTCAAAACCATATATAAGACCATCGGTTTGCTTTGTTCAGTAAGACTATGTTTAATCTCTCCTTTACTTAATTTTTAAATTTTTTAAATTTTAAATATTGAGTTGTAGATTCATCCTTTGATAATAAGATCTCCTATCCCAAAATAGCAAAAGAAGGCTTTATCAACAGAATACTAGATTACAGTGGTTTATAAGAACTTTCCAATTCTGGAGTTCCATTATTTCACTTACTATTGATCATTTAAATTTGGGTTAATAATGAAGTCATAAATAAAACCTTGCAAAGACTGAGCTTTAAAAAGTATTTCAAATTCTCTGTAGCTCTCTAAATTTTTTTTTTTTTTTTTTTTTTGAGACGGAGTCTCACTCTGTGGCCCAGGCTGGAGTGCAGTGGTGTGATCTCGGCTCACTGCAACCTCCAACTCCTGGGTTCAAGCGATTCTCCTGTCTCAGCCTCCCAAGTAGCTGGGATTACAGGCACCTACCACCATGCCCAGCTCATTTTTTTTTTTGTATTTTTAGTAGAGACAGGGTTTCACTATATTGGCCAGTTTGGTCTCGAACCCCTGACCTCAGGTGATCTGCCTGCCTTGGCCTTCCCAAGTGCCCGGATTACAGGTGTGAGCCACTGCGGCCAGCCCAGCTCTTAATTTTAAGAGGAAAATATGGTTCAGCAACTGAGTACCTGTTATGTCTCAGACACTGGCAGTTCTGAGAATTTAAAACACCACACACGCACCCAAAGCCCTGATCCTTACAGTCTTCATTAAGAGAGCACTGTTTTTCATTAGCAAAAGGATATCCTACTGCATACAGTAACCATCTGCCTGCTCTTAAGTATTTTTATTCTGCTTTGATGCACCACAAATGCATGGGTAGAGGACCTAGAGAGAGAACTGACAGATAGCAAAATACAGAGAAACGATAATTGTGTGGAGATTCTTTGCTAAATCAAAAGACTTTATGTCTTGTCATAAAAGAGACTCTAGTGTCTAAAAAAGACTTTTACAAATACATTCCAAATTATACATAGATTTGACTTTTCCTTCAAAATGTCTTCTAAGTCCCAACTAGGCTAAAAACCTAAAAGCCCAAACAATGGCATATCCCAGCAGTGCTAGTATTTAGCTGAAGTTCAGTAAATTTTTTTATTTTTATTTTTTTCTTTTTGAGACAGAGTCTTGCTCTGTTGCCCAGGCTGGAGTGAAGTGGTCAGATCTCTGCTCACTGCAAGCTCCGCCCCCCTGGGTTCATGCCATTCTCCTGCCTCAGCCTCCGGAGTAGCTGGGACTACAGGTGCCCGCCACCACGCCCAGCTAATTCTTTTGTATTTTTAGTAGAGATGCGGTTTCACAGTGGCCGCCAGAATGGTCTCAATCTCCTGGCCTCGTGATCTGCCTGCCTCAGCCTCCCAAAGTGCTGGGATTACAGGTGTGAGCCACCACACCCGGTCAGTAAATTTTTTAAAATTGTGTTTAAACTTAGAAGCATTCAGGATGTCAACAAAACAGTTGCAACTTTTTTTTGTTGTTGTTGCAATTTTAGAGTGGTACTCAGTTAACAAAACATTTATTTTGTATAAGCTACATTAGAGAAAATTAACGATGAAAAACTACTATCCCCATACAAAATAACTAATTTGTGCTGTGGATTAACAAAAACTTGCTTTTAAATTTCTATGCCAATTTATAATCCCTAGAGTGTACCAAGCAAAGTTAATCTTATTGAAAATATCACCAGGACAAGGCTATCTAAAGACATTCAACAGGGTGTTAACTATATAAAAAAAGACACTGTACAGTTTAAACAAAAGTTACACAGCCTGACATTTCAATTTTTTTCTTTAAAAGAAGTGAGTGTGTACAGGAGTGTTAAATGCTTTATAGATAAGAAGAAAAACATGTGCTAGAACCAATTTATTCATCATCTTCTTCATCTTCCTCATCCTCCTTTTTCTTGCTTTTTTCAGCCTTGACGGTTCCCATTTTTGCTGCATTAGGCTTTCCTTTAGCTTGGTATGCACCAATATCCTTTTTGCATTTTTCCTTCGGCTTTGCAGCCCTCTTGTCAAAAGGCTGCTTGTCACCTGCAGTGGTGTAGCTCCACGTCTCTCCCGGTTTCTTTGCAGCATCACCAATGGATAGGCTGGATGTTCTCCTTTGATTTCAAGGCAATATTAAGAACAGAACAAGAAAAAGGCCAAAGGAGGCCTCTTGTGAGATGCATTGGGATCCTTTAACTTCTTTGTTTCCCCTTTAGGAGGGATGTAGGTTTTGATTTCTTTCATGATGAAACTTGTCTGCCTTTGGCATGTCTTCAACTTTTCCCTTCTCTTTAGCAGACATGGTCTTTCATTTTTCTGAAGCCCCTCTTAGAAAACTCTGAGGTGACTGGAGTATCTGGGTGCTTCTTGTGCTTCTCCTGGCAAATCTGCACAAAGATCGCAGGTGATGACATTCTGCCTCTCAGCTTCTTGGAATTGCCTTGCTAATGTTTCGTTCTTTTTCCTCAGTGAGGCAGAGTCACCCAGAATCCATCAGACTCACACCTGTGCCAGTGGAGAGCACAGGGCAGGTCGTACCACACTCTTTTAAACAACTGGATCTCGTGTGAACTAACTGAGCAAGAACTCGCTTACAACCAAGAGAATGGTGCTAAGCCATTTATGAATGATTCACCCTCATGATCCAATACCTCCCACTAGGCCCCACCTCCAACATCAGGGATCACACTTCAAGATGACATTTGGAGAGGACACACATCCAAACCATATGACAACCCTTTTGGGGAATCAATTATTCACATTTTATGACCTGATAACACCAATTCTGGGAATCTACCCAAAGGAAACGATTATGTTTGTATGCGAAGATAGTTATAACAGTGCTACTTTTAATAGATAAAATGCCGGGTGCGGGGGGCAGCTCACGTCTGTGATCCCAGCACTTTGGGAGGCCGAGGTGGGCGGATCACTTGGGGTCAGGAGTTTGACACCAGCTTGGCCAATGTGGTGAAACTCTGTCTCTACTAAAAAAATACAAACATTAGCTGGGTGTGTGTGGCAGGTGCCTGTAATCCCAGCTACTCAGGAGGCTGAGGCAGGAGAATTACATGAACCCAGGAGGTGGAAGTTGCAGTGAGCCGAGATAGCACTACTGCACTCCAGCCTAGGTGACAGAGTGAGACTCCCGTTGCAAAAAAAAAAAGAGGTTAAAATTAGAAACAATCTAAATATCCAAGAAGATTAAACTAGTACATGCACATTATGTAATAATAGCCAATAAAACTGTTTATGAAATTTATAAAAATAAGGGAAATATATATAACATGAAGTAAAAGTAGTATAACAACAAGAAACTGCCTTAAAAGTATGGAAAAATTAGAAAAAATAAAATTCTTGCAGTTGCGGAATACATAAATGATATATCTATAAGATGAAATACTGTATTACGCAGATTATGCAGACAATAAATTATTATAATTATTATTATTATTATTATTTGAGATGGGATCTCACTCTGTCTTGCCCAGGCTGGAGTGCAGTAGAGCAATCTCAGCTCACTGCAGCCTCTGCCTCCCGGGTCCAAGTCATTCTCCTGCCTCAGCCTCTGAGTAGCAATGCTTTACAATTACAACAGTTCTATGAAGAGTAACTGTCTTTCAGTAAGTGAAGGATCTGCTTCATTCTTACTATCTAAATCCAGTCTGTATATCTTTTAAAACTTAACTATCCAAATTTTCTTCTAAATAAAAAGGTTTACATATAAATGCTTCACTTGTCTATTTTATGTTTGATACCTTAGTGTTTCACACTTTCGTGACTTAAAAGTAGAGACATCTAGAATTGTTAAATGTTGCAAAGGTGCAAAGACATCAGGAAAATGTATAAGAATCCATTCTTGATTTCATACTTTAATAAGTATTTACTTACTTATGAGAGTAGCAATAACTTCAAAACAGATGAGTTGGTTGTTCTGGAATAATTTTACGAATGGAAATGCCAAGAGTGGAAGATACGGTGTGTCACTAAAAATGACAGACCAGTGAGCTAATGCAGATAAGGTTCTGTGAATAAAATAACTTAGTATTAAAATTTATTTGAATAAATAACATATTCACATGATAAAAATTTGACACAAAAAGTATATTTGGTGAAAATTCTTCCTTGCACCCCATCATCTAGTTCACCTCTCCAGAAGTAATCACTGTTACAAACATAAATCCTTTCTTAAAAAACCATAAATGGTAGTATACTATAAAAATTGTTCTGTACTTTGCATTTTTCGATTAATGGTATCTTGGAAATAGTTTATATCAGTATATACAGAACTTCCTTACGACATTTTACAGATGGATACGATAGCTTTGTACCGATACATCTTCATTTCTTCTTTTTCTTTTGTGTTCCTGACACAGGGCTTCGCTCTGTCACCCAGGCTGGAATGCAGTGGCATAATCATGGCTCACTGCAGCCTTAAACTCCTAGGCCAAGTGGTCCTCCTGCCTCAGTCTCCTGAGTAGGTGGGCCTACAGGTGTATGTATGCCACTATGCCTGGCTAATCTTTTTTGTGGGTAGAGACAGCGTCTCACTATATTACCCAGGCTGGTCTCAAACTCCTGGGCTCAAGCGATCTTCCCGCCTCAGCTTCCCAAAGTGCTGGGATTAGAGGCGTGGGCCACTGTGCCCAGCCACCTTCATTTCTTTAACATGATCTCTATTGTAGGGCATTTGCTTTCAGTCTTTTATAAGCAATGCTGTGCTTAATGCCACTGTATGTACCATAAAGTGTGTATCATTCTTCACATGAGAATACAGACTTGGAAATTCCTCAAGTGGAAACTGCTGAGTCAAGAATGCGTGCCTTTGTGATTTCGAAAGTCAGCGCCAAATCAGCCCCCACAGAAAGTGTCTACTTACGTTCCTATGACTCGCCTAAAGGGATGCCTGTTTTTCATACTCTTGCCAGCATATTATCAACCGTTTTTAAAAAAACCTTTAATCTAGGTGAGAAATGGTACTTCAATGTAGTTGCAATTGGCATTACTCTTTCTATGAGAAAGATTAAGCATCTTTTCATGTTTAAGAACCACTTCTAGGCTGGGCACAGTGACTCATGCACGTAATCCCAACATTTTGGGGGGTTGAGGCAAGAGGACTGCTTAAGCCTAGGAGTTTGAGACCAGCCTGAACAACAGAGCAAGACCTCATCTCTACAAAAAATGTTTAAAAATTAGCCAGGTTTAGTGGCACATGCCTACTACTCAGGAGACTGAGGCAAGAGGATTGCCTGAGTCCAGGATTTTGTGGCTGCGTGAACTATAGTCACATCACTGCACTCCAACCTGGGTGACAGAGCAAGATCCTGTCTCTAAAAGAAACACACACAAAAAACAAAAATAAATAAAAAGAACCATTTTACCACTGTGAACTGTACGTGAAATTGTTTATCCATTTTTTTTACTGGCTGGTCCTTTACATGTTTATTTATATAGGTGCTTTACACATTAAAGAAACCAGCCTTTCATTTGCCATGTTTTGCATATGTTTTTTTCAGTTTTACACGAGTCTTTGTTTTGGGAATTATTTTTACATGCAGAGATTTTTATTCTTATTAACCTCTTCTAGATATGTCATACTTAGAAAGGTCTTTATTACTCTGGGATTATAATTCTCTCACATGTACTTCTAATACCTTTACTGTTAATTTCCTTTTTTAAATTTTTCGTTTTGAAATCGTTTTAGATTTACAAAAAAAAACCCTGCAAAAATAGTAGAGGTCTTGTATACCTTTGACCTAAATTCCCCTAATGTTAACATCTTGCACATAGTACAATTATCAGTACTAAGAAATTAACACTGGCACGATGCTATTCACTAAATTATGGACTTTACTCAGATTTTACCATTTTTTCCACTGATACCATTTTTCTGTTATTTCTTTCATTTCACCAACCCCAGATTCAACATTACATTTGTTTTGTCTCTGTAGTTTCTTCCAATGTGAGAGTTCCTTAGTCTTTCCTTATTTTTCATGACAATGCCATTTTTGAGGAATATCAGTTATTTTCTAGATTGTTCCTCAATTTGGGTTTGTCTGATACTTATGATTAGAATGAGGTTACATATTTTTGGCAAGAATTTCACAAAAGTGATGTGCATCATACTGACGTCTTATTACCGGTAATTTTATTTATTTAATTTTTGAGACAGGTTCTCACTCTGTTGCCCAGGTTGGAGTGTAGTGGTGCTATCATGGCTCAGTGAAGCCATTGCACTTCAGCCTGGGTGACAGAGTGAGGCCCTGTCTCAAAAAACAAAAACAAAAATGAAAACAATAATTTGATTATATATGCCTAGTGGGATATAACCTAAGGACAAAAAGAACTATAAAAGATATTTTCGACTGCTTTCAATAATCATAATATTCACATTGTTATTATTTACAGTTACATAGTTTTTATTATATAGCATACATATACGAAGTTTAAAAACCATCGTGTGACTGTGTGTGTGTGCATGTGCGTTAAAGAAAATAAGGAATTATGTCAATGCTGTTAGAAATCAAGATTTTTAGCATAAGAAAAAAGATACAAATATAAAATCAAAGAAGTTATGCAAATTTGTAATCTTAAATCTGAATTGAAAATATTAGTATGAACTCCTGGTTCTATGCACTGAAAAGGCCTCTATGTTCCATCTGAGTTCATAATCAATACACTGATCATTCTGGGGAGCTCCAGGGTAATCAGTCCACTATTCTGAAAACTGTTAAAAAAAAAAAAGATACCAAGCATTTAACGTGCCTTTCCTACATGGGTTGTATCTTCCAGTAACCAAAGAGTTGATCCTAAGAACTTTTTCTTTGGAGAAATTTCCCGGTTTATAAAATGAGAAGTAGTAGAATTATATTATCACTGTTTAGATAATCTCTGGTGAAATAATGGATCTAGGCAATAATCATCAATGGATAAAAACATCACCAAAAGAGAGACAGCCAGATAGGAATTATAATCCGCCTAACAGAAGTACATAAAACCACCTAGGAAGTTTTCTTGCAAGCCAAAGAAACAAATACCAAAGGGGGGAAATAAAAACCTTCACTCAGATCAAGCCGCTAGCTCTAACTGTCAGTTTATAGTAAATTCAGGAGAAAGAGAAACATGTTAAACAACACCATGAAATAAAATCAGCAAAATCCAGAACATAGAGGGCCGTATGGGTTAAATGACCTAGTTTTTTCCAACAAATAAACTGTAAGGAAAAAAAGAGGCATCAGAGTCTATAGATTAATCTCAGTGGCATATCAACCAAATGTAATGTGTCCATGTTGTTTGAACCCTGATTTGAACAAGTTTACATAAGAAAATGTTTTAAGACAATCAGAGGAATGCTGATTGAATATCTGAACATAATGAAGAATTATTAATTCTTTTTTTGTGTGTGAGTATGGTAGTGTACTTATGTTAAAGAAAAAGAGTCCTTATTCTTTAGGGATACATATGTATATATTTAGCATGGGGAGTGTGTGTATGTTGGGATGTGGGGCGTAGAGTGAGTGGGAATATTCGCCCAACGTGATTGGCTATGAGTTGGCAATTGTTGAAGCTGGATGATGGGCATGGGGATATTTGTTACATTATTTTTTATTCATGCTTGAAATTTTTCATAATAAAAATTATTTTTGAAAAAAGTCTTCGACTCTGGAACCTGGGCTCAATCTTAGCTCTCTCACTGCTGTGACTTGATCATATTTCCTAGTCTCTCTATGCCTGAGTTTCTTTACCTACAAAATAAGTTAAATGTGCCTAACACATGAAAAGCATGTTAAAGGATGAGCTACTGTTATTATTAACATTTAGTGGATGCTTCCTAGGAATGGACTCTAGCATATGCATTCTCAAAGAGATTCTCATCTCATTTTCCCGATAGTCTTATGATGTTGGTGTTATTACTCCCACTTTTAGATAAAATAATTAAGGCTAAGAAGTAAAATAACACGTCCCACATCACAATAATTAAGTGGTAGAATAAGAATTCAAAACTAGGTCTTTTGCCTTCGAATTCAAAGCCCTTTCCACTATGCCTCTTTGTTCTTTTTTTTTTTTTGAGATGGAGTCTTGCCCTGTCGCCCAGGCTAGAGTGCAATGGCGCAATCTCAGCTCAGTGCAACCTCTGCCTCCCGGGTTCGAGCGATTCCCCCTGCCTTAGCCTCCTGAGTAGCTGGGATTACAGGTGCCCACCACCACACCCAGCTAATTTTTGTATTTTTAGTAGAGATAGATTTCGCCATGATGGCCAGGCTGGTCTCCAACTCCTGAGCTCAGCTGATCTGCCTGCCTTGGCCTCCCAAAGTGCTGGGATGTTCTTTTAGATTAATCTGAAAGAGTCTTATTTTCTAGAACACGATGCAAACTAATATTCACATGTAATATATGTGTATGTACATTTTTAAAACTAAACCAACATATCACATAAGGATAATGAAACCGACAAAACAATATCTTATAAACAGGAGATTTTAAAACATTGCAATTATTAGTTACAGGTCTCATACACGTTGCTGCAATATACAGAACATACCTCTGTAATACTCTGAGCAGTTTCCTACTTTTGATGGGGTATTTCTTCTGAAGGTTGAGAAATGTCACATGAGTCCCCTTATCTATGAGGCTACTAAATGCAGTATGATTTTCAGGCAGTTGCAGCAGAGAACGCCAAATGAACATTCTGAAATAAAAATATATTTTAACCCCCCAAATTGTTTTTGAGTAAAATTGATGTAACATACAGAATTTAAATGGTACCTGTATTTTGTTGGATATTCACCATAGCCTTTTAATAAGATTTGTAAACGCTTTTTGTTCAATCCATCTGGTAACTCGTTCTATAAAGAAAAAGATAGTATTAATAAATGACATGATCATTAAAACTGAAAAGGTGACAAATGGTAATCTAGTCCACAGTACTTTCCAACTTTAGAAAACAACACATAGTAAGACATATTTGTGTGTTAGAGGTCTTTTCCCCACTCCCCTCTCTCCCTCTCTTGAGTATGCATACACATAGCCAATAAAGTTCATGATATAGTACCTTCCCTAAACGAGCTCAACAAACTTTTTCTGTAAAGGGCCATGATGTGGTTTGGCTCTGTGTCCCCACCCAAATCCAAAATCTCATCTTAAATTATAATCCCCACAATCCCCACGCGTTGAAGGAGGGATCTGGAGGGAGGTGACTGGATCGTGGGGGTAGTTCCCCCATGCTGTTCTCGTGATAGTGAGTTCTCACAAGATCTGATGGTTCTGTAAGTGTTTGACAGTCCCTCCTCCACATATTCCTCTCTCTCCTCCTGCTGCCTTGTGAAGAAGGTGTCCGCTTCCCCTTCAGTTTCTGCCATGGTTGTCAGTTTCCAGAGGCCTCCACAGCCATGTGGAACTGTGAGTCAATTAATCCTCCTTTCTTTATAAACTGCCCAGTCTCAGGTAGTATTCTTTATAGCAGTGTGAAAATGGACTAATAAAGGCCAGTTAGTAAATACCTTAGGTTTTGTGGGCCAAGAAGAAAAATCAAGATCATATATTTATATATAACTACTTAAAAATGCACAAAGCATTCTTAGCTTGAATAGCTGAATTAGGCCCATGGGCTGTCATCTGCTGACCCCTGCATCAAGAGCAATCCATTCTGACAGCTCCTCCCCATCTCTCTTTCCTTAAAATTCTAAGCAATTCCTAACATTGAAGCATCAAAGAAAGGTCTGGCAGAAAAACATGCGGGAGTACATTATTTTATCCCAAAAGACATCAGCTCCTGCTGATAGTCCCTTATATCTAAGACTTTTAAGTCAATTTTTATCTTAATACAAAATATTGTATAGAATTTAGGATTATAAAGCTGTTTTCATATATTATCTCAACTGGATCTAACAACTCTATAAAACAGATGAAATGTCTTCCTTTACTTGAGAAATGGGAACATCAGAGAAGTTTGGTAAATTGCTTATGGTCACAAATCTGCTAAATCTTGGCTCAAGACTCGAAGCCAGACTTTCTGATTGTGTTTAGTGCTCTTTTTACCACAAGAAACAGGTAGTCCAATGTAAGAGAAGGGTGAAGGGAAAACCCAAGATGATGGTGAATGAAGATACTTGAGGGCCATGTTAAAGGTATAGAAGGCAACTAGAGCAAATGAGAGCAGTATGATCCAGGAAGACTGCCTTCATCATCAAGATACCTGCTGCCACTGAAGCCTCTTTTTAAACAAAGGAAAATGTGCCCTGGATAGTTTGGCCTCAATTTGATCTGTTCTTGACCATGAGCTGATAAAGTTCCTTCTTTCCTTTCCAGGTGCTAATGCAAAGATTAGCTGAGGACCTGCACTTCACCCCATCGAAGTGTTCTACTTTGACCTACTTCTTAGAGCTGGCAATGGTTTCCTCAGAAGCAGCTCCATTCCTCAACATATTTCTGCAGGATATCCAGATTTGATCCACACTACAATGCTGCCAGATACCCTGACATGATGAGCCTTTTAATGCCCGAAGTTACTCATGACCATTCCCACCAGCTTTCCCAGAAAAGGTCCTGCAAACTCTGAAGCCAGAATATCTCAGAGATACCATTCAGCTTATCTTTGCAATAAAGCATTCATTAAATAGGAGCAATATTGCCCAATCTTTACACAACTAGGCTAGGCTTGTGTCTGCTATTCAGTTTTTTTCTTTAAAGAAATAATCTTTTGTTTAAAGTTACATGAAGAGGTTATAAAACTATAAAGAAAATCAAGGGCATAATTAACACAAAAGCGAGGACAATGGTTATATATATGGGGTAGGGAGAAAATTGTGATGGGGGATAAGCACACAGGGGGCTCCAAAGCTACTGGTAATGCTCTATTTCTTCATGTAGAAATGGGTATATGCAGAAAAAAGTGAACACAAGCCGGTCTGAGCCTGCTACCCTTAGAAGACTTACTTGCAAGGTCGGCCTTTGGCTGGTGTCTAGAAGTTGAATTTCAGGAGAGTTCTCACTACCCCCAGAACCAATAAAGAGTGGCTCATTGTGTTTAAACTGTTTGTACAATGTGGCTTATGCTGAATGCCCGCCTTCCTTCTGGAACTCTGAAATTTGAAACCTGTTAAAACAGGGTATCTACAGAACCAGCCTCTAGTAAAAGTCCTGGGCACCAGGTCTCTAATAAATTTCCCTGGTAGACAATACTTCACACGTATCGCCACACTTCATTGATGGAGGAATCAAGGATGTCCTGTGATTTCAGTGGGAGAAGATTTCTGGAAGCTTGTGCCCGGTTTCTCCTGGACTTCACCCCATGTGTCTTTTCCCTTTGCTGATTTTGCAAAGCAAAATCACTTTCATATATTATAGCTATGAATATGACAACATGCTGAGTCCTAATAAACCACCAAACCTAAGGATGGTCTTGCAGGCACCTGACACAGGATACATACGTAATCTTTTTGTACTTTTCATTAAGCTGTAATCTGTTTTAGATACTCTTCTGTGTTGCAAGTTTTACAATTAAAAAATGCTTAAAGAAAAAAGAAGTTACAGCAGTCCCTACTTATTTGAGGAGGAAATGTTCCAAGATCCCTAGTGGATGCCTGAAACCTCAGTTAAGTAGCTATTCTGGGGTGGGCGGGGGTAAGGGAGAGAGAGTGTGGAATGGAGCAAGAAGCTGATGGTAATATTCCAGTTTTTGATCTGGGTGCTGGTAACATAGTGTGTGCATTTTGTGAAAGTTCACTGAGCTGTATACTTAATGTGTACTTTGTATATGTGTGTGTATGTATTTGTCATTAAAAAGTTTTAAAATCCCTTGAAAATAATGTAACATCTCTATTAATAGCTATATTTTCTTTATTTCTCAAACTAATATGGCTGGGTGTGGCAGCTCATGCCTGTAATCACAGCACTTTGAGAGGCCAAGGTGGGAGGATCACTTGAGGCCAGGATTGAGACCAGCCTGTACATAATTTCAGTTACAACTTTATTCTCTTCATTTATTCTCTTTCTTTAATTCCCAAGAGAGGGAAGAGTGGTGATGGCTTAGGAATCACAAGACTTGTCTACAGCAGAGTCATGACAAAGTTTAATTACCAAATATTCTTACCTTTTTACTTTCAAAATCACCAGTCAGGTCTTGTTTTAATATTCTAGTTTGTATTTTGCTTCCCCTGGGTTTTGCTGGCTGCTGTACTCTTCCTGATGTTACTTTCATCTTAAGATCACTGGAACTCAGTTTCTTCTTGGGCAAATCTTCAATAACTTTCACTAAAGGCAGAGGTGGCTAAATGGAAAAATAAATATATGTATTCTAGTGGATATCCTTGGAAGATAGGCCTGTTAATATATGATTTTCAAAGTTTGCTTTAATAACATGCCTTAATATGTAGAATTATTCTTCAGGCAAAAAACCTAAGTAAAATGTCTAGGAACATTTGCTTTGACTAATAAAGCAAATTTGTGCCGAATCCTTTTGAAGAACATAATAAAGATATATGATTAACAATAGCAATAAATATAATTATTCCTTGAAAGCTGGCCTTAAATCATTTGATACCAAATCATGTTTACACATACATGGTGAAGTTAGTATGGTGATTATTACCTACAGCAAAAAAGGTACAGTTAGAGGTATGGCCCTCTAGAATTCTGACAGAAATACCCTAATATTCTTTGGGGTCAAGTGAAATTTCTAAGAGGAAACTGCCAAATGATTTTCTTCTAGAAGCATGGAACCTCTGCCTCTCTATCCCTTGGTTAAATGTTTTAATCTGCTTAGCGATCACTATTAGTTCCTTATTGTATCAACAGCTTAAGCAGTTCAGACAATGTGACCTAGAACCTATACCTTCATTTTTATGGGGCCCATCAGACAGGGAAAAAAACCTGAACAACTTCAATTTACTTAAAGTAACATTACTCACTAGAACATTTTCTCCATAAATAATATTCTCTTTGAAATCAAAAGATCTTCCTTCTTCAAAGGAAGTGAGCAAATAAGGTAACTCAGGCTTTCTAAGTTCTAAAGACAATTCAAATACAATGACCGTTTACAGTTTATGATTCAATTCTTCAATTCATCTATGGGATGGGATTAATAGTGGTCTGACTTATGAATATTACCCATCTTTAATAAACTGTTTTTTGACTTCAATCCATTCTTCTACATTTTTATTAAAATGTCCATTGTAATGTCACAATTTCCCCTGTTTGAGCCTTATCTTCTACCATGAAGTATAACCTCCCAAAAAGAACCTGAGATATGACCTGACTTGACATGCCTTTGTAGTGTTAAACCTTTAACTTGTAAGAATTCATTTACTCTATTACCACAATACCAGAAATTTTCCAATGACAAGAAAATAAAACTGGCAAAAATGGGACAAAGGTGAGTTATGATTTACAGAGAATATAGAGCTGAACATTAATGTAGCCTGGAACAGCCATAAAGACACTGATGGTACCGGGAATGTGTCCAAAAAATAAAAAAGATCATTCTACTTCTAAGCTCGCTTTTCTATTCATGTGATCTCAATTTGCTCAACAGACAACAAGTAGAAAGGAACTCAATGACTCACTCTTACCATAGTTTTTCTCAGATCTCTGCCTGCCTCTATTAAGAAGGTTTGGCAAGGCCGGATGCAGCGGCTCACGCCTGTAATCCCAGCACTTTGGGAGGCCAAGGTGGGTGGATCACCGAGGTTAGGAGTCAAGACCAGTCTGGACAACATGGTGAAACCCCATCTCTACTAAAAATACAAAAATTAGCCAGGTGTGGTGGCACGTGCCTGTAATCCCAGCTACTAGGGAAGCAGAGGCAGGAGAATTGTTTGAACCTGGGAGGCGGAGGCTGCGGTGAGCCGAGATCATACCACTGCACTCCAGCCTGGGTGACAGAGTGAGACTGCATCTCAAAAAAAAAAAAGAAGAAGAAGGTTTAGCTAGTACTGTAAAACTGACTATTCAGAGGCTGAAAACTCTCTCAGTAAGAGCAGATATTAATACATTTTTAAAAATTTATTAATATATAGCACATATTATAATGTAAAAATATATTTATATAGTATATATAATGATATAAAGGGCAAAAGAGCAGCAGAGTATAATCCCATATGTTTAGAGACAAGTATGCATACACACACGTGCGCGCACACACACATAAGCATATACGTATAGTTAATTCTCACTATTTGCAGTGGTTCTATAAAGTCACCATGAACACTCAATTAGTGAATACTGAAATACTGCTCCTAGGGGAAACAGAGTCAGGTTCCTGAGAGCCTCATTAATCAATCAATACATACATGTGTGTTTCTGTTTAAAGACATCTTATTTAATACATATTGCTGATTCCTTATCATGGAACTCACAGTTAATAGCACTATAACTCATTTCTGAATGAGTTTATCTAACATACGTATTTTCTCTATAAGGGAAGCCACAGCCTGTGTTTAGAAACAATAAATAGCACTTCAGCGCTATGCTTGGGGACCACTTTAAACAGTAAAATCTTAACAAAAAGCTTCAAAATGCAAAAAAATAAATAAATGGTATTAAGCAGACCACAAAAAGGATACTTGTTTACACTATGAGAGCTGAAATAAGAAGACAGAGTGTTGCCTTGTTTGACTTCAGCTGGGAACAAGGGTATCTGGTGACTCAAATTTTCACTGCTCTGTGCATGTCCCTGAATGACCATGAAAGCACTGCAAGTATTAATTCTGAAGTTACAAATCAATTTTAGTGAGTAGCTGAATTCTCATGTATAGAATGCACAAATAATGAGGAGTGACTGTATATCTTTACATACATAGAAAAGAAATTGGGAACGTGTAAATTAGAATCATCTGAGAATGGTGAGACTTTCAGTGATTTGTATTTGTCTATTTGCTATTCTGTATATTCTTATTTTTTTCTGCAACAAGACACTGCTTGCATAATTTTTTAAAAGATAAAGAAAACAAAAAGGAGGAGGCACAAACTTTTTCTAGAATAAAAAAAGGTGGCAAATGCTACTCCAAATGTACCCAATCTCATGTGATCTTGGAAGAATTGGAACACCCAGAACTGCTAGTTATTAGCTGCGTGATTAAGTTTGAGCATGAACTTCTTCCTGTGTAAAATGAAAAGGTTAGACCAGGTGATCATCAAAGTCTCTGTCAGAGTTACCAAGGTGCAATTCCAGACTGGAAGACACATGGACAACATGACTGATTAGCTGGGGGAATTTTAGATAACCAGAGAAGAGAAGAGAGGCGTGCATTTTAGTGAAATGGATGCTGTGGATAATAGATTCAGAAATGAGGATGGTGTCTATGGGGATAATGAGGGAAGTTGTAAGTTTGAGGAAATAAGTTAGACAGGTAGACAAGATTGGAGAGAACACTGAGAGCCTGGCAGAAGAGTCTGGACTTAATTCAACAGGTGAAGGAAGGAAGCCGCTAAAATAGCATTAGTTAAAAAATGATGATGAATTATTTTAGAAGGTGGTAGGATGGGCAGGGCAGGCACTGAGGGCTCTGAGTTTAAGATATTTCTTTAAATTACCGTTAGTCTAGAGTAGTTAATGAAGACCAATACGAGGACAGCAATTACAGAGGTGGAGAACAGGCAACACATTTATAGATATTTCAAATTTAAGAAGTTGGGCTGGGTGCGGAGGCTCACGCCTGTAATTCCAGTACTTTGGGAGGCCAACGTGGGCAGATCATGAGGTCAGGAGTTCGAGATCAGCCTGACCAACATGGTGAAACCCCATACCTACTAAAAATACAAAAATTAGCTGGGCATGGTGGCGCACGCCTGTAATTCCAGCTACACAGGAGGCTGAGGCAGGAGAATCGCTTGAACCCGGGAGGCAGAGGTTGCAGTGAGCCGAGATCGCACCATTGCACTCCAGCCTGGGCAACAAGAGCAAAACTCCATCTCAAAAAAAAAAAAAAAAAAAAAAGTTATATGACTTAGTATTGACTGGATTTAGAAAATAAAGGCACAGGAAGTCATAGAGCCTCGAGGTTTCTAGCTTATGAGATGGGAAGAAAACATGAGACAGAAGTGAAGAAACTAGGATTGAAGAACTCTTTTGGGAAGGAGATAATGAGTAACACCCAAATGAGAGACATCAAACGGAGATGTCCCTCAGGAAGGCAACAATTTAAGAATAGAGCATATGTGAGAAATCAAGGTCAGAGATGTGGCTTTGGGAGTAAGAGCAACAACATATATCCAGAAAAATGGATAAGTTCCAGGTGAGTGAGAAACAGTAGCATAAAGATTTTACTCTTGATGATATAATAGGTAAGTGGTTATAAAAAGCTGTTGATTACTTGATCATACATACCTTATTTATTTCTTGTGTTAAAGCCTGAACTGAATATACGTTTAGACTTCCATTTTCCATAATAGATGCAATGTACCGTCCATGTGGGCTAATTACTGATGAGCTAATTCCTTGATCAAGGCTCCCAATCTCAAAGAGAAGTTTACAAGTCTGTATATTTATAAATCTCATAATACCATCTTGACTTAGTACTCCAAGAACCTAAGAGTAGAGAGAAAAAATATAAACTCCTAAAAACATGTGACAGTGAATGTCTGAAAGTCATACTATATACATGTCTTTACATGTATGCAATGTTTGTGTATGTACGTCTGTGTGTATATATATGTGTGTGTGTATATAAATACATATATTTTGAGGGGGACACCTAGAGGAAATTCTATTCTCAGTGAGATATTATGTTTTATTTTATTATTATTATTGTTTTGAGACAGAGTTTCACTCTTGTTGCTCAGGCTGGAGTGCAGTGGCACGATCTCCACTCACTGCAACCTCCAACCTCTGGGTTCGAGCAATTCTCCAGCCTCAGCCTCCCGAGTACCTGGGATTACAGGCATGCACCACCATGCCTGGCTGATTTTTGTATTTTTAGTAGGGATGGGGTTTCACCATGTTGGCCAGGCTGCTCTCAAACTCCTGATGTCAGGTGATCTGCCTGCCTTGGCCTCCCAAAGTGCTGGGATTACAGGCATGAGCCACTGCGCCTGGTCTGATATTATATATTTTAAAATCACAACTTATGGCTCTTGTTGATTATGCCCTGGATCTAATCAGAATCAGCAAGGAAGCTATCATGGTGGACTATGGAAAGGTGCCCTAAGAATCTTCCCTTCCCACAGGCAGATCATGCAGGGGACAGAGAGGATTAGACAATGATATAATTTGAATGTGTCTCTCCAACAGCAAGTATTGGAAACTTGCTCAATGCAACAGTGTTGGCAGAAAGGGCCTAATGAGAGGTGACTAGGGCATGAGGGCTCTGCTCTCATGAAAAGATTAATGCTGTTATTATGGGAGTGGGTTTGGTATAAAAGGATGAGTTCGCCTCCCTCTTGTCCCCTCCCATTCCTCCCTCCCTTTCTCACCCATATGAGGCCTTCTACTATATTATGACAGAGAACAAAGGCCTTCAAAAGATGCCAACCTCTAGATCTTGAACTTCCCAGCCTCCAGAACTGTGAGAAATAAACTTATGTTGTTTATAAATTACCCAGTCTGTGGTATTCCAATACAGCAGCACAAAACAGACTAAGACAGACAGTTCCTAACTTTTGCCTCCACACTGGCTATCAGGAACAAGGAGGGTGGAGGGTTTGCCTTCCTGTACCGTTTCCATAGCTAATCGAAGTGAACACCAGCCCTGCTGCCCCCACACAAACCTGTCACTGCCACTGAGGCTCCCCAGTGTCTACCTGTTTTCAGCAAATATTTTAAGTAACATCTGGAGAATGGAGAGTTTGTGAGTTGCAAGGGTAGTGGAGGGGTAGGAGGGAAGCTAGTCTTTTAAGGGGGGAGAAAAGTTTAAATTTTAACTCATAATTTCAAAAATTAAAAACATATAATAAAGGCCGGGTGCGGTGGCTCACGCCCGTAATCCCAGCACTTTGGGAGGCTGAGGAGGGAGGATCACGAGGTCAGGAGATGGGACCATCCTGGCTAACATGGTGAAACCCCGTCTAAACTAAAAAATACAAAAACTTAGCCAGGCATGGTGGCGGGCGCCTGTAGTCGCAGCTACTCAGGAGGTTGAGGCAGGAGAATGGCATGAACCCGGGAGGCGGAGCTTGCAGTGAGCCGAGATCGCGCCCCTGCACTCCAGCCTGAGCAACAGAGTGAGACTCCATCTCAAAAAAACAAAAAACAAAACAAAATTAAAAAAAAAAATGTAATAAAAAAGTTGAAGCAAATAAACCCCCATGCTGCCCTGTCTAAGCACAGGTTCTCTTCCCAGTGGCAGTGGCTGGTAAGTGATGCCACCATGTGATTGCTTGAAACGCTGATGTCATTAATCATACAAAAGACTGTAAAAGGCAGTTTGGAGGTGATAGTCTATAAAGCCCTCCTGTTGGCTGGCTTGCAGGAAACAAAGCCCCTCATCTGCAGTTGATGCAACTCCTCTGGAAGTCGATTGGGCAAGATCTACCCAAATGACAGATGCACATAACCTTTATGCCACTATTTCAACTCTGGGATTTTATCCTACAAAGAGGATGTGTGAAATGACACTTGTAAAAAGTTATTCAGTGAGCATGATTTGTAACAGAAAATGACTAAAAATAGGTTAAGTGCCAATAGAAGACTGGTTTAAAAAATAAACTGCATAGTGTTGCAGTTGTAAAAATGAAAGAAGTTCTGCACTGATATAGAACAATTTCCAACTTAAGAATAAAAGGTAGACTGGACGCAGTGGCTCACGCCTATAATCCCAGCACTTTGGGAGGCTGAGGCAGGTGGATCACTTGAGGTCAGGAGTTTGAGACCAGACTGGCCAATATGGGAAACCCCGTCTCTACTAAACATACAAAAATTAGCTGGGCATGGTGGTTCATGCCTGTAGTCCCAGCTTCTTGGGAGGCTGAGGCAGGAGAACCACTTGAGCCTGGGAGGCGGAGGTTGCAGTGAGCCGAGATTGCACCACTGCACTCCAGCCTGGGAGACAGAGCTAGATTCCATCTCAAAACAATAACAAAAAAACCCAAAGAATAAAAGGTGCAAGGCTGTATAAAATAATGGGAAAAACGTAACAGTATACGTAACAACAGTGGATATGGGGGGAGGTGAACAACTAGACAAACGGTAGAAAGGCATGACAGACTTCCTACTGTGTGCTGTTTTATGTCTTCAACCATATGAATATATTACCTAATCAAAAACGTAAGTAAAATGGACACGATATACACATACATGCATATGTATACATATATATGGAAAACATATATCTAATCTGTTAAAATACAAGATCCATGACAGTCTATTTGAAATAAGAAAGTTAAGGTTTGACAGAACTCAACTCTTAAAAAGGAATAAATGAAGGGGGATGGGGAAAGAAGCACTTTGTAAACTAAAGAAAGATAACAATAAAAAACGTGTTTCACAGGAGTGAGCAACCAGTTAGGGTAAATAAAATAACAACACAACGAAAAAATTTTAGCTCTAGTCCAATCTTTAATCCTTACAATTAACAGGAATGTTGACAAGTCAATGTTTCTAGTTGTTAGTGTTAGAATCTGTAAAATGGGGAGAATATCTTTCCTGCCTATGCCAAATAATTAAGGATCAAATGAAAACTAGCATGCTAAAGCACACTGCAAACCATAGAGTACAATATAAATTTTCAGTCTGCTGATTTTATAAGAAGAGCAAATTGTCAATAGTATAAAGAATACAAGATTTTGAAATTTTTTTCAATTCTAGACTCTTCACAAAAGTCACATATTTGTAATTTCAAATTCTTGTAACAAGGTGTAAGTTAAATAAGAGCTAAGATAGTTCAGAGATGGATGCGTTCTTTCGCAAAAAGTACAGTGCCCTACATTTATGTTACTAACCTGATTAGAACCAGCATCAAAACTATCAGGAAGAAATTCTAGATGACGAATGGCTCGAACTTTAGTGGGCATCTGGATAATTCTAAAGAGCTGCCTAGCTTCCAAGCACCACAAATGAAGATGATTTGACTTGCCTCCAGCAGCCAGGATTCGGCCATCTCTATATAACAAAAAAGCGAGAAAGTAAGGCAGGTTCAATTGTTTATAGCAGTGCTGTCTAACAGAACTTTCTGTGATGACAGAAAGGTGCTGTACCTACGCTGTCTGATATGGTCACACTAGTCACATGTGATTCCCGAGCACTTGAAATGTGGCCAATGTTAATGAAGACCTTATTTTTAAATTGCATTTAATTTGTATTCATTTAAATACTTGTATGGACAGCTCAGGTTTATAGTATATATATTTTTACCTACTGTGCTAAGGCACCAGTTTACCAAACATTTAATGACCTGATTGTGGGTTTTTTACATAACACTTATATTTTATAGCATAATCTCAAGGTCACTTATCACTATCCAACTTTCTGTGTTTCACATACAGCTATACAGAATTGGTGGTACTGGCTATATGAAAAAATGTAACAGCCCAAACTTTTTTCCTGCTCAAAGAAAGCTACCTTAATAAGGTACAAAAAGAGTAAGTTGTTTTGACTTGCAAGGCCGTTGCTCATTCATTCAACAAGAACTTGTAAAGTACTTATTAATTTGTAAAAAGTGTGATAATACTATGGTTATGTTTCAAGTGTCTGCTATAAGCCAGGTATGGTCCCAGAAGCCAGGAACACAGTCAGTTAAGGCTGCACAGTCAAGTAATCCTGCTCTTACAGGATTTTCGGTCTAGAGGAAGGCAAACAAACAAAAAAATGAACTTGTTCTCAGCGGGTAATAAGTTCTATACAGAATTACAAAATAAGGTAATGAAAGCTGGGAAAGGAGGAAGATCTGCTACCTGAATGACACAAATAGGCCAGTCATGGGATGATCTGGAGGAAGAATTCTATCCTGATCAGTATTCCAGACTGGCTGGTACAAAAGTGCTGAAAAAGCAGTAAAGTTAGTATATAAGGAAAAGTAAGTAAGAGGTCATACTCAAGTGCATTGCCATATGAAAGTACACTGCTATACTCGGGTGTGGCTAGAGGAGACTAAGGAAGGAAATGAGACGAAGCGAGGGAGGCCTAGGCCAGATGACAGAAGGCCTCGGGGGAAATGAGGGGTGGGGGGTTGGATTTTACTCTAAATGATGAAGGAGGTTAAATAGGAAAGTGACATGATCTGACTTACTGATTTATAAAAACCACTTTATCCGCTGTGCAGAGAATGACTATAGGAAATGAGATTGAAAACAGGGAGAACAAATAAGAAGGCTATTATAGTCGTCTAAAAGAGGCTAGGGTAGCTTGGATTAGGGTACCACCTACAGCAATGAATAAAAACAAATTGACCAATTTGAGATATAGTTTGGTTGAATTGATGGGATTTACTGATGACTTAGAAGAACAAGGTGAGAAAAGAGAGGAATTAACATATATTTTGTAACTCTTTCCCCTGACTAGAAACAAGGATCGGCCTAGTCAAAATAGAACCCCTAGCATCCAGATTAGGGTCTTGAAATACCACTTCCCAAAAAAGAACCCAGACTCTTTAGAGAAAAGGCTAATTCCAGGGTTAGGGCAGGAATTGTACCAGATAAGCTTGGAACATCTTGTCACATCAGAAAGCATGAAAGCTATCATAGGCAACTGGAGTTGTAGTAAAAGGATGCCAAAGCCAGCGAAAAGAGGTTCCTATTAGTCAAAGATGAGAGAACTGGAACATCTAAGAATGACAGCTGCAATGTATTAAAACATGCTAACTACTCTAAGCCTATGAATTTACAAAGATTAAAGACATAAAACTTCATTAGCTACTTTTGAAAGATGCCAATAAACCAGTTCATTAGTTTTAAAACTAGTTTAAGAAAAAAGAGGAGAACATTAAGCCTTCATCCTGCCTTTCCTTTCCAACTGTACGTCAAAATAACCAAAGGGTAGATGAGAAGACGTTTCTTTCTATAGAAGGTTATTAACTAATAAGTGAAGAAGAAATGAGAGAATAAGAACAGCAGCATTTTGCTAACTTCTAAGGCCGTACTGGATCTAGGGAATGATCACCGATGGCTACTGACATCACAAAAGAAAACTGTTCTATGTTGTTACTGATGAAAGTACACAAACCACCTTCTTGTGTAATGTCTTCTTGTGCTTAAATCAGATCAAGCCTCCAGTTTTTAGAAAATACAGGTATAACCAGTATACAGGAAAAATACAGATAACAGAGGATCGTATTAAACAATGCCACATGAAGACAAAGAGCAAAATCCAGAATATAGAAAACGCAAGAGGAGAAATAACCAGCTATTTAATGAATAAACTATAAGGGAAAAAGAAAAGATGAATACATCAACAAAATACAATGTGTGAACCTTGTTTTGCTTCTTATTCAAAGAAATCAATCATAAAAACCAATTATTAGACAAATCAAGGACATTTGAATATGACTAGATATATGACAATATTAAGATATTCTTATTCATTTTTAAAAAGTGTGATAATAGGCCGGGCGCAGTGGCTCACGCCTGTAATCCCAGCACTTTGGGAGCCAAGGCAGGTGGATCACCTGAGGTCAGAAGTTCGAGACCAGCCTGGCCAACATGGCGAAATCCCGTCTCTACTAAAAATGTAAAAATTAACCGGGCGTGGTGGCAGGCACCTGTGATTCCAGCTACTTGGGAGGCTGAGGCAGGAGAATTGCTTGAAGCTGGGAGGTGGAGGCTGCAGTAAGCTGAGATTGTGCCATTGCACTCCAGCCTGGGGGACAAGAATGAGACTTCGTCTCAAAAAATAAATAAATAAATAAAGTGTGATAATACTATGGTTATATTTCCAAAAGGGCCCTTATCTTTCAGAGATAAACTGAAATATTCATGGATAAAATGATATACTTAGGTTTTACTTCAAACAATGCATTGGGGAAGTAGGTGAAATGACTGATAAAAATAGAAATGGCCGGGTGCGAAATGGCCGGGTGTGGTGGCTCACGCCTGTAATCCCAGCACTTTGGGAGGCCAAGGTGGGCGGATCACGAGGTCAGGAGTTCAAGACCAGCCTGACCAACAAGGCAAAACCCCGTCTCTACTAAAAACACAAAAATTAGCCAGTGTGGTGGCACATGCCTATAATCCCAGCTACTCAGGAGGCTGAGGCAGGAGAATCACTTGAACTCGGGAGGCGGAGGTTGCAGTGAGCTGAGATTGCACCACTACACTCCAGCCTAGGCGACAGAGCGAGACTCCACTTCAAAAAAAAAAAGAAATGGCCATTCATTGATGATTATTGTAGCTTATGGAAATATTTAGTGGTTCTGATGGAGGAAATGCTGGTATAAATAAAACAACACATACACATACACACACACACACACAACAAAAAAAACAAAAAAAAAAAGAAGAAATTCTTACGGGTTCATGTATTTTTCTATTTTTGTGTATATTTGATATTTCGCAAAATAAAAAAAGTCAGCAGATCATATCTAAATTGGAAGGTAACTTTTTCTAATATGACAAAAAGATACTGAATAAAAACTAAACGAAAATTTGTAATTTTTTACCAGAAATTAAATTTCTTAAATTATTCCTAGTGTCTTAAAATGCACATTACCTGGTCACAGCAAACACTTTGTATAATATACTAGAGCTTTCAGGTGGAGCTGGCAATTGATATTTGCAAAAAAGTGTGTCACATTCCCAGGCAAAAATGGAATTATCTTTAAAACAGCTGAGGATGGTGTTACTTAACGGTAGAAAGAAAACCTAAGGAGGAATAGAGAAAGTTAGTTTTCACACAAGGTTCACATAGTACTCTTTAAATTTAAAATTATAAAGAGCCTATTTTTCTTTATTCAAATATTCTTTTCTTAAGTTGGAGAAAACTACATTTCTAATATATGACAAGGAGTAATACTGATTATTTCATAAATTATTATTATTATTATTATTATTTTTTTAGACGGAGTCTCGCTCTGTCACCCAGGCTGGAGTGCTGTGGCCGGATCTCAGCTCACTGCAAGCTCCGCCTCCCGGGTTCACGCCATTCTCCCGCCTCAGCCTCCCGAGTAACTGGGACTACAGGCGCCCGCCACCTCGCCCGGCTAGTTCTTTGTATTTTTTAGTAGAGACGGGGTTTCACCGTGTTAGCCAGGATGGTCTCCTGACCTCGTGATCCACCCGTCTCGGCCTCCCAAAGTGCTGGGATTACAGGCTTGAGCCACCGCGCCCGGCCTCATAAATTATTATTAACCAAAAAAAAAAAAAAAAAAAACCCTTCAAACGAAAACTAGGTATACTATAATGACTAGACAAGTCACAAAATTCTAAATGGCAGTTTAAAAAATTTCACCTAATATTATTAAAGAGATGAAAACAAGATATAATTTTGAGTATCAATTTTACTTCAAAAATAAAGCACATTGGTCAGGTGTGGTGGCTCACACCTGTAATCCCAGCACTTTGGGAGGCCAAAGCAGGTGGATCACTTGAGGACATGAGTTTGAGACCAGCCTGGCCAACATGGTGAAACCCTATTTCTACCAAAAAAATACAAAAATTAGGTCGGGCGTGGTGACTCACACCTGTAATCCCAGCACTTTGGGAGGCGAGGCGGGGGATCACCTGAAGTCAGGAGTTCGAGACTAGCCTGACCAACAAGGGCTCTACTAAAAATACAAAAACTACTCAGGCATGGTGGCAGGCATCTGTAGTCCCCACTACTTGGGAGGCTGCGACAGAATTGTTTGAACCCGGAAGGTGGAGGTTACAGTGAGCCAAGAACCTGCCACTGCACTTTAGCCTGGGCGAGGGAGTGAGCCTCCGTCTCAAAAAAAAAAAAAAACAAAAACAAACAAACCAACAAAAAAAACAATTAGCCGGGCACGTGCCTGTAGTCCCAGCTACTCAGGAGGCTGAGGCAAAAGAATCCCTTGAACCCGGGAGGCAGAGGTTGCAAATAAGTCAAGATTGCACCACTGCATTCCAGCCTGGATGACAGAGCAAGACTCTGTCTTCAAAAGAAGGCACATATATGCATACACAAAATGTGATGTGTTTGTATATACATATTACTCCCACAAAACGGGGTGTATGTATATATTATTCCAACGGCAGTGTATGACAGTGCCTTTTCCCTATACTTCCACCAACATTTGATATTTTTTAAACATCTATCAGTAGTTAATATTTAATATAGTGTTTATATTAGTATATAGCTCTATATATACTATATATATACACACACATATATAGTAAAAAAAAAGCCACTGTCATACACTGCCACTGGGAGTAAAAATTAGTTAAATATACTATACTATATGTGTCAACAGCCTTAAAATATGTATCTTCCCAAATTAGTCAGTTTGCTTTTAAAAGTTAGTCCTGGCTGGGCACTGTGGCTCACACCTGTAATCCCAGCATTTTGGGAGGCTGAGGTGGATGGATCACCTGAGGTCAAGAGTTTGAGACCAGCCTGGCCAACATGGTGAAACCCCATCTCTACTAAAAATACAAAAATTAGCCGGGTGTGGTGACAGGTGCCTGTAATCCCAGCTACTCGAGAGGCTGAGGCATGAGAATCACTTGAACCGGAGGGTGGAGGTTGCAATGAGCTGAGATTGCGCCACTGCACTCCAGCCTGGGTGACAAGAGTGAAACTCCATCTCAAGAAAAAAAGTTACTCCTTTGGGAATATTAGGCAAAGTGTTTCAAGATAAGTAAGTGTTAAGCATTTTTTAAATAAGAGTAAAAAGGTGCAAATGCATATATAATCCTATCTTATTACAGATTCAGTTTATTTAATGGACAACTGAGAGTGAAACTGATAGCAAAGTTGAAAATGCCATCACTTTATTCTCCTAATTTCCATTTTTCTATCACAAGCATAAACAATGCTTCCTTTTGTTAATACAAAATTATTAACGGAAATTAACCAATATTTTCTCATAAAAGTTTCAGTGGCCTCGAATATGATTTTGTGTGTCATCGATACAACACACACACACATATAATGCACTAGAGAACATACTGGTTAGCAAAAATAATCTACTTAGGATTAATGCCAATAAGACAATAAAAAATACTAACTCAACTACATCAGATACTGATAGATCAGGCAAGGGCCTGATCAAGCTCCTCACTTCATCCTTGGCTCACTTCGCTAAAGACAACCTGTGGTAGATCTTTCGCTATCAGATTCACTGTTAGGAAGATTTATAATATGAAGGCCTTACAGATTTCTATGATCTACAATGAATGCATTAAAACACTCTTTCAAAACTGATGTCAAAAAGTGACTTAAGAAAATTCTTATTATAATTAGCAGTCACTTTTCTGGAAAAGTAATAAAGTTTATTCCTACTGGGAAAAGCAGAAGCTTAAAAGTTAATGAGCATCAACTGCTATTTTAGTGGAATAACTGTGATAGATTATTGCCTACATGATTATTCATTACTAGATTTGTGATTTTAATTGCCATATTTTAATGATTATAAAATTGTTTCTAATGAAGCATGTCATTATTATTTAGATAGTGTCATCTCTTGAGAAACATAAAAACCTTAGGAAAGACTTCAAAACATTAACAAAGTATACTTTTTGGGAGGTTAGGTTCAAGGATGGAGCTGCAGTTTTTCCTTGTAGAACTCAAAATTCCTAAGCTTTCCAATTCAGTTTGAGGAGGTAGATGAACTCTTTTCAAGGTTTATTTTATCTATCTATCTATCTATCTATCTATCTATCTATCTATCTATCTATCTATCTATCTAGAGACAGAGTCTTCCCTCTGTCACCAGGCTGGAGAGCAGTGGCACGATCTTGGCTCACTGCAACCTCCAATTCTTATGCCTCAGTCTCCCAAGCAGCTGGGACTAGGGCCGTGCCAACACACCCGGCTAATTTTTTGTATATTTTAGTAGAGACGGGGTTTCACTATGTTGGCCAGGCTGGTCTAGAACTCCTGGCCTCAAGTGATCTGCCTGCCTTGGCCTCCCAAAGTGCTGGGATTACGGATGTGAGCCACTGTGTCCGGCCCTTTTTCAAGGTTTAAAGAGTTTAGGATACTAATATTAGCAAGTTAAGGTCAAATGTATTATTTGGCAGTAATTTATTGAGTGTCCTGGGTACACAGGCTGAATTAAGTTCAGCAAAACACTCTTTATTGGATGTTTTCTGATATCCATCACAAAGCCTTTCTGATACCACAGTAATCACAAATCCTGGGGATTCCAAAATCTCTAACTAATGAGCCGAATATCTTACCTCCAAGCATCAACAAAAGAATAAAAATGTACTAATCTGAAAAGGTATAACTGGTTTACCTGAGAAGCAGTAAGGCTTTAGATAAAGACAGGTTTGAATTCAAACTGCAACTCTCTTCTAAACTATGTGATACTGAACAGATTACTTAATCTTTCTGGACAAAGTACTTAATATTTCTGAACTTCGGTTTCCCTTCTTGCAAAATGGGGATAATGGTATCTACCCTTCCAGATTAAAGCTTGAAAATAACTATTTAAAATGTAGGTTCATGGAACATACTGAACAACGGGTATCTATTACTATTACTAATAATTACTACTAGTACTGCTTACAAAAATCAGCGGAAAGAGGTTACAGTGGTAGGTTCTTTACAAACACTCTGAAATCAAAGTTCCATAGTTCCTTTTCTGAAACCCTTGGGGCTTCAGAATGCAGATTTCCAATTTTAGATAGGTAGTGTGATGTATATTCTATAACATTATGTAGAACTTTAGGCGACCTGGGGCAATGCCCCATACTCAAATATATTAATATTTCAGCCTCATGTCAATTCAGTTCAGATTTTGCTGCCAAATGAATTGAGGTCAGATCGCATTTTGCTGCTGAGTTATTTAAATACTTTTGGGTTTCTGAATTGTTAATATAATGTAGCTAAAAAATAAATAAATAACAGTTACCCCCCAGTTTTGTTTTTTTGAGACAGGAGCTCGCTCTGTCGCCTAGGCTGCAGCCCAGTGGTGTGATCTTGGCTCACTGCAACCTCTGCCTCCTGGATTCAAGCCATTCTTGTGCCTCAGCCTCTTGAGTAACTGGGACTACAGGCACACACCAGCACACCAGCTAGTTTTTGTCTTTTTTGTAGAGACAAGGTTTCGCCATGTTGCCCAGGCTGGTCTCAAACTCCTGGGCTCAAGCAATCAGCCTGCTTCTTAAAGTGTTGGGATTACAGGCATGAGCCCATGTGCCTGGCACCCTACAGCTTAGGCAAATTATCTAATTGCACTGAGATAATCCTATCATAGGCTTGATGGTTACAACAGCAACAGATGCAATTTTACTAAGCACTTACTATACAACCAGCACTGTCCTAACTTTGCGTAGATTATCACACTCAGTGCTGAAACCAACCCTGAGGGAGGGACTACGGCTGAGTATTCCTTATGCAAAATGCTTGGAACCAGAAATGTTTTGGATTTTTTTGGACTTTGGAATATTTTCATTATACTTACCAATTGAGTATCCCTACTCCAAAAATCTGAAATCTTAAATGCTCCAATGAACATTTCCTTTGAGCCTGATATTTGAGTAACATGTTGGCACTCAAAAAGTTTCAAATTTTGGAGCATTTGGGATTTCAGATTTTTGAATTGGGAATCCTCAACCTGTATTGTTTACTATTTTTTCCTACATATAAGGTAAATAGCTTGTCAAAAATGTTTAACATGAATCTACTCAAACCTTTAGACTTAATATCTAGTTTATAGAAAATGCAGGCGAAAGACATATGAGTTAAACAATAATGATGAAACAGAAAAAACAACTCCAGAATGTGGGGTATTTTCTAAGATAACTGTCTGATCTCTCCAGAAAATTAATGTCATGAGAAAAAAAGTAGAAGACTAGGTTAGATTAAAAGAGCCATCGAAATTGAAATCCATAACAGAAGACCCAAAGCAAGTTACTGAAGGGTCGCATGTGTCATCAAAACAAATAAATAAATAAAAGTTCCATTTAAAATATAGAATCCGAATCTGTAATAAAAATAGGAGTTTAGTAAGAATTTGATAAGATTAATGTTTTTAGGGGCACATGTTCTCAGGCTCTCCTGAGGGCTGTGTCACGGGAAAAAAAACTTTAAAAAACGAACATTTTACTTTAGTATTCAGGTTACAGTTATTTCCTGTTTTCAACAGAAGTGGTCACCACCTGGCCCATCTCTAGTCTTTGTACAGCCCAGGAGCTAAGAATGGTCACTTTTTTTTTTGAGATGGGTCTCACTGTGTCACTGTGTTGCCCAGCTAGGTCTTGAATTCCTGGGCTCAGGGGATTCTCCCACCTTAGCTGGGCACCTGGCTTTAAATGGTTACATTCTGAAAGGTCATATAATTTTGCTCTTGAACTGCAAAGTCAAAAATATTTACTGGCCCTTTAAGAAAAATTCACTGATAACTTGGACTATGGTGTTATTTTATTTTATTTTATTGAGACAGAGTCTCACTATTGCCCAGGCTGGAGTGCAATGGTGTAATCTCGGCTCACTGCAACCTCTGTTTCCCAGGTTCAAGTGATTCTCCTGCCTCAGCCTCCCCAGTAGCTGGGATTACAGGCATGTGCCACCACGCCCAGCTAATTTTTGTATTTTTAGTAGAGATGAGGTTTCACCATGTTGGCCAGGCTGTTCTCGAACTCCTGACCTCAGGCGATCCACCCGCCTCGGACTCCCAAAGTGCTGGGATTACAGGCGTAAGCCACCGTACCCGGTCCTGTTTTATTATTTTAGAGCAATTTACTGTATGCACACATCACACTATACATACATTTTCACATTTAATTTTATTCTTATAGCACTAACATTAATATACTTAGGCACACATGACAGTATACATACATTTTCCACAGTCCTAATTTTTAAACTAAAATATCTAAATGTCCAAGCAAGGTTTGCATTGGCAACTATTCAGCGTATACTCATTTTAATTTCATAGTAAAAAGAACAGATGGTTTCTGTGTCATGTGTCATTGTTTCATAACTCTGTTTCCACGTGGCTTCAACTCCCAATGTTCTCGTCTTTGGAACTTAAAATTCAAAATGTAAGCACTAAAGCAATTAAAGAAGAAAAGACCTACTAAGACATTTGGCCTAAATCCCTAATGAATAAGTTGGCACAACTTTTATCTCTTTTTAATTATTAAAAGCACATTAAAGGACTCTGGGATTTCCATGGAGACTACAAAGTAAATTTTTGGTTGACATGCACTGCTAGCTGTTCACGTTAATAACCTAGAAATTAAAAGCAGTACTGCATGTATAATATAACCTGAAGCAAAATAATTAATCACACAAGAGACTCAGATACTCCTGAAAATAATATTTAGCTAATGAAATAGAAAGAAAAAAACCTGAAAAGCAAAAGATGGTGGGCATTAAGGAGACAGGGCCTTCCAACCTAGCAATGCCACATTTGAAGTGGGTTTGAGGAATAGGGCCTGCGTGCTCATTTGAATAAAATCAGCCAAACAGAAAGTTTTGAAGAGGAAAGACCTATAATTCCATCTTCCTCTGACTTCTCCACTTCTAACATTTTGAACACCAAAGCCTGGCATAGAACAGGTGCCCAGGCTGGGCGTGGTGGCTCACACCTGTAATCCCAGCACTTTGGGAGACCAGGTGAGTGGATCACTTGAGGCCAGGAGTTTGAGACCAGCCTGGCCAACATGGCAAAACTCCATCTCTACTAAGAATACAAAAATTAGCTGGCTGCCATGGCGGACAACTGTAATCCCGGGTACTCAGGAGGCTGAGGCACAAGAATCGCTTGAATCTGGGAGGCAGAGGCTGTAGTGAGCTGAGATTGTGCCACTGCCTTCCAGCCTGGGTGCCAGAGCCAGACTCCGTCTCAAAGAAAAAAAAAAGAACAGGGAGGAAGAAGGAAGGGGAGAGAGGGAGGGAGAATCGGTGATGTGGACAATGTAGTGTGACACAAAGTGCCAGCTCCCTTAGGGTGGAAGTCACAGACAGACCCCTAGAGCTGAAGAGGTATGACAGGCTTGGATATGGGGGCCTGGAGGAGGAAGAGTCACCGGGGCACTGCAAAAGGGTGGGACAGCCAAAGGCTCCTTGACTCCATCCCAGGATTTGGGAGGCCTGACTCTGCAGAAAGGCTCCAATCTGGCTTCACACCCTGCTGGCTCTGGCACTTGCAGCTGCCAGTGCTTCCAGTCTCCAGATCCCAGTGTCTTTGTGTTTGGGGAACAATAAACATTGCCTACTTCATTGAGGCAGTGTCAGGACCAAGTTGAGATAAGGTATGGAAAGTTCTTAATACAATGCCTGAAAATAGATTCAGTAGCTATTATCACAATTGAAGAAAGGGTGAGATCTGACTAGGTGGAGAGAATGGGAAGGTTACTGGGTGTGGTAAGGAGGGAGGAGGGGGCAGCAGCATGGAAACCCTATGAAAGAGACCAGTTTGGATGTCATATAGGAAATCACAGGAGATGACAGCCAGGGGACATAAAGGACAAAATAACAATAGGAGCTGCTATATAAGGGCCTGGCACTCTGCCAAGCCCTTGACATGAATTATTTATTTTATCTCATTTTCTCACTAGCCCTGGTAAGGTGGTTACCACAGACCCATTTTCCTGCTCAGGAAACGGAAGCCCAGAGAGGTTGGTTATGTGGCTTGTCTGTAAAAAGAAAAGATAGAACCAAACTGGGGCACTTGCGGGGCTCAGAACAAGAGTACATCTGGAGGCCCATATACCATATGTTTCTACATAGGTAGAAAAAAACAAAAGAAATGGATTTTTAAAAGGTGGTATATTTATACAATGGAATTCTAAACAGCAATAAGAAAGAACAAATTATTAATAATATGGATGGATCTCAAAAACATTATGCTGAGCGAAAAAAGCCTTACATAAACTATTATTGTATAGTTCTATTTATACAACATTTTAGAATAGGCAACACTAATCCATGGTAGGAAAAAGAAGAGTGGTGGTCACTCAGGGAGGGAGACGGTGGAATTTTCTGGGATAATGGTAATGCTACATCTACACAGGTTACACAGGTGTGTGTATTCGTGAAATTTAACAAATGAATACTTAAGACTTACATATTTCATTATATATAAATTTTACATCAACAAATATTGACCCCTAGTCAATTAAGTAAAGGCTTAAGTATTTACAGGGAAGTACGCTGATGTCTGAAGTTTACTTTAAAACACACACACAGCTGGGCACGGTGGCTCATGCCTGTAATCCCAGCACTTTGGGAGGCCGAGGCAAGAGGACTGCTTGAGCCCAGGAGTTTGAGACCAGCCTGGACAACATAGAAAGACCTTGTCTCTATAAAAAATTTAAAAATTAGCTGGGCATGGTGGCACGCGCCTGTGGTCCCAGCTACACGGGAGGCTGAGGCAGGAGGATCGCTTGAACCCAAGCTGCAGTGAGTTATCATTACACCACTACACTGCAGCCTGGGTGACAGAAAGACCCGTCTCAGAACAAAACACACACACACACACACACACACACACATTATTAGGAGAATTAATGAACAGAGGGACAGAAAGATGGACAGAGTGGCTGGGTGTGCGGTGGCTCACACCTGTAATCCCAGCACTTTTGGAGGCTGAGGTTGGCGGATCACTTGAGGTCAGGAGTTTGAGACCAGCCTGGCCAACATGGTGAAACCCGGTCTCTACTAAAAATACAAAAATTAGCTGGGCATGGTGGTGTGTACCTGTAGTCTCAGCTACTTGGGAGGCTGAGGCAGGAGAATCACTTGAACCTGGGAGGCAGAGGTTACAGTAAGCTGAGATCATGTCACTGCACTCCAGCCTGGGGGACAGAGCAAGACTCTGTCTCAAAACAAAGAAAAAGGAAGAAGGATGGATAGACCCATAAGAGAGTATAGTACCATGTAAAGTATAGTAGAGGATAGTACAGTAACGTGTTAACGGTAGAATCTAGATGCTGAATGTACATGTGTTCAAAAATTCTCACAAATCTACTGCGTGTTTCAAATTTTTCATAATAAAATGTCAGAGGGTTAAAAATGAAAACAAAACCAATCAACTAAGTGACTTTCGCCTTAGGAGAGTTGAAGTTACACAGCTATAATTTTAGAAAAGAGCTCACTAAGTCATCAATTGTAGCTATAGGCAACATCTTTGTGTTGGCCACTTTGCTTTGCTTGTTGCTGAGTTACAGAGCTACAAGGAGAAAGTAAATCATTACTCATATACATTTATATACCCTGTTGACCAAGAAATTAGCCCGAGAAGCACAACAGGCCAAGATGTCCCCTGTCACTGACCTTCTGTATACCCACAGATTGGCGAATATTCAGCTTTCTTTTTCTTTGAAAGGTATCCAAGTCCCATAATTGTGCTGTATCAGAAGAAGTGGTAATGGCGTATTTCCCTGATGCATGCACAGAGATTGAAAATACTGATGACTCATGTCCTCTCATCCAGCTAACTAGCTCCTTGGTGACTGTGGTAAAAAGTAAAATTGTTACCCAGGTAAAACATTGTACGTCTAGAAATAACACTACATATAAACACCATAGATGAACTGATCCAATAGGTGGTTAGGTATTACATGAGGCACCTCCATTAATATCCACAAAAATGGAGGCCTGTGGCTAGTTGATAAAGTATGACGGGACATGTTAGCAACACCTCATTCATGTAGGAGACAAGGCTGACAAAGGCTTTGATGCAGAATAACTTCAGAATTTATGCTAGTGAGTTTGGGCTTTCTCTTGCAGGTAATTTTATGTAAAAGAGTACCACATTTAGTCTGTGTTTTAGAAAGAGCACTTTGAGGGTATCTGGTGGAGGGGAAGAGATTGAACAAGAAAGACTAATTTATATGTTGCTGTAATAATCCAGGCAGGAGATAGGGAGGGCCTCAACTAAGAAAGTGGCAATGGAGAAAAGAACAAATCCAAGAGCTAGTAAGGAGAAAAACAAAAAAATATTAGTGATCAAGTTGATGTCCTGAGATATAAGAGAAGTGAAGGCTCCAGTGGTTCCCGCTTAGTTATTTAAGCAGATGGTGATATTGTTAGTGGATGTAAGAAATACATGAGGAGGGGCCAGGCGGTGGCTCACGCCTGTAATCCCAGCACTTTGGGAGGCTGAGGCAGGTGAATCACTTCAGCCTAGGAGTTTGAGACCAGCCTGGGCAACATGACAAAACCCTATCTCTAAAAAAATAAAAAAAATAAAAAAAATAATAAATACATGAGGAAGAACAGGTTTATCAGTGTGAGATAATGATAATACATTTGGTTTTTAAGCTTGAGTCTGAGGTACTTGTGTGTATTTGTGTAAGCAGAGCAAACAGTTTGGTAGGTAAAGTACCAAAAACTATTCATGATCATTATCACTGGCTAGTAAAAGCGTAGGTGATTTTTCTTTTCCTTTACACTTTTTTGTATGTTTGCAAGTTTTCTACAGTAGGCATGTTTTACTTTTATGATCAGAATTTTCCCCCCAGAAAGATGGAACTTGAGAATAGTCAGAAAGCAAGATATAAATCTGGGAAACGTTATGATAAAAAGTAGGTCAAAACTGAAGACAGAGAAACAGACAAATCCCTTAGGGAAACAGCAGTGGTTTCCAAACACCATTTGGAGGTCTGGCGTTAGTTAATGATAAATTTTCCACTGGTCTTCAGGGAAAGAGAAAAATACAGATAATGCAGTGAGTTTTTCATAAAGTGAAATTTAAAGTACTACTCTTTCATTTGTATTATGTCACTCCCTGTTTATGTAGAAAGAAAATCCCTTGTTTTATGAAATTGTATTTTTTTCCAATGTCAATTAGCAATATTAAAAGTTGACAAGCTATGTGAGTTCTTCCACTTTTTTAATTGGGTCAAAAATCCAAAGTCTAGGAACCACTGAAAGAATTCAGGAGACATGATTGAGAAGCAGTTAGAAAGACAGGAGGAGAACCAAGGTAATAGAATGAAAACTAAAACAAAACAAAACAAAAAACTTTCAAAGTAATCCCAATTGTTAAATGCTATAGAGAAGTAGGATGAAAACTGTAAAGATGACTTAAACGATCAGGGGTTAGGGTTACTAAGGACCTTGGAGACAGAAGTCTCAGTAGCATGGGGTAGGGGAAACAAGGGTCAGAATTCATCAATGGATACTGCGAAGAAGCAGAATTTGGCAGAGAGGGGAAAGAAAGAAGGAAGGAGACAGTGTCTAAGGAAGGGGCTTCATGGTGGGGGTTCAGTGAAGTAGAAGCAACTATAGAACACGGAACAAGGAAGAAAAAGAGGAGAAGAGTGGAATCTAGGGAAAGGTGAGTTATAAAGACTTCATTTTTCTGATATTTTGTCACAGCAATGTTTGTAATGCCAAAAATTGAAAACAGTTTGAAAGTCCAGCAATAGGTAATAGGTTAAAAAATTATGGTAAACATCTATACAGTAGAATGTTAGGTATTGATTTTAGATATGCGATATGAATTTTAATGAGGTAAAATTATCCCACGAAACAATATAGACAGGATAATTATGCATTTGTTAGGAGATAAAAAAAGTACATACATAGAAAACAGACTGGAAAGAGAGAGCCCCATTATGAAAACACTGCGTCTCTAGGCCGTACTGCAGAATCACTGTGTTTTTTCTTCTTTGTATGTAGGATGAGAGTGTACTACAGTGATTAAGAGCAGTGACTCCGCAGCCAGACCACTTAGGCTGGAATTCTGGCTCCACTGCTTATAAACTGAGGGACTCTGATTAAGTTACCCATGTGCCTCAGTTTCCTCATCTGCAAAATGGGGATAATAAAAATAGTATTCATCTCTGTGGGTTATGATGATGATTAAAATTAATTAATGTGTATAAAGCCACAGAAAGTCCCTGGCAGGGAGTAAACACTATGTGTTAGCTATCACTATCTTTAATATTATTATTTATACATCTGCTGAACATTATAACACATTGATTATTTTAATAAGAAAAAAAAACAGTTGAAATATCTCTTTTTTAAGAGTAATAGGTTTAGTCTACAGAACTCTATGTTCTCAATTTAAAAACATAATGTGGTATAAAACACACAGGCTATATTAAAAAAAGATATTGTACCTGTGTAGTAAGGAATTTGACCTTTACAGAGCAGTCTGGCTTCTGTTTAGGCTCCTGGGAGGTAACCTCTAAACCCGTGACTTAGGGGTGTCTTTGTTATTCCTGGCGGGCCCCTCACACTATACCAGATAGTTTATGCTAAGAAGACTCAGAGTGGGAGATGGCCACACAAGAAAGGTCAACCACGTGATTAGAAGTTTAGGGCTTTTGGGGCGAGTGACATCAGACTAACTTCTTAGGAGGAGAGGAGGGCTGGAAATGGAGTCCAGCCACGTGGGGAATGATCCAATCAGTCATGCCTATGTCATGGCGCCTCAGTAAAAACTCTCGACACCAAAGCTTGGGTTGACTCCCTATGTCAACAGTGCTTGGCACAGATGGCCAGCCACACACCAATGCTGGGAGGGTTGTCTGGGAGGGCAATGCATCCCTGAGGACAATGGAGACTTTCCTTTTGGAAGCCTCCCAGATTCCACTCCATGCTTCTCTTCCTTTGGCTAGTTATACTTTGTATCTATCCTTTTGCTATGTTAAAACTATCATCATTAAGTGTAGGCTTTCCTGAGTCCTGTGAGTTGTTCTAGTGAATTATGAAACCTGACAGCAGTCAGGAAACCCTGACTTTGTAGTCAACCGATCTAAAGTGAGGCTGTTCCTAGGACCCCCAGCTTGCACCTAGTGTCTGAAGCGAGGGCAGTCATGGGGACAGCTGCGCCCTCAAGCTGTACAGAGTGACAAACTTCTTGCAGTTCTTCACTCTATATTTCACTCTGCTTCAAAAGAAAAACAGAAGTTCTTACCTGTATCAAAACATTTAATAGAATAATCAGCTAATGCCACAAGGAATTCAGATTTCCTACGAAGATTAAAGGCCAGAGCTGTGCAAGCTTGTGCTGTTCGCTGAACAAGATTGAACCTATTAAGAAATCATTGCATTAGTATCACAAATTCTTCCCACAATTATAAATTCCACGTGGAAGGAGTCCGTAGAGACGAAGAAAATGAAACCCAGAAAAATGAGCTACCATTTTAGGCCAAAAATAGATTATGAAGGGTGCTATGTGCCATATTAAGGAGTTCGGATGTTATTAGAATAGGAAACCACTGTAAGTGTTTAGCACAACAGAATCACAACCAGGTATGTGTTTTAGGAAGATGATCCTGGCAGCAATGGCAAATGGGAAGAGGGACAAGGAATAAACGAGATCACTAAGAAAGTTACTACAGAAAATCTCAGCCAGAGATATGGGAGCATAAATAGGAGAGGTTTCAGAAGCCAAGCAGAGGCTCGGTATGGATTAAACATGGAGTGAAGAAGGGGGAATCAGGACTTGCTCTTGTGTAGAATGAAGATAAGACTAGATACAAGGCTGTTGTGATGACTAAATGAAGTAATACATGTTGAGTGCTCAGTAGAGTACTGGGCACCTAGCTAGAGTTTAATTTACAGAAAATTAAGCTTTTGAACTTAGGCAAAAGAGGAATAAGTTTGGGGGTAGGAAATGATAAATCTGCTTTTAAACATGTGGTTTAAGGCCCTGTGAAACTGATCTAGAGCCATGCTGTCTGAAAGAAATACAACGTGGGCTACATATGTAATTTAAATTTTTCTAGGAGCCATATTAGAAAAGTAAGAAGAAATAGGTTAAATTAATCTTAATAATATATGATATGCTTTGGCTCTGTCCTCACTCAAATCTCATCTTGAATTGTGGCTCCCATAATTCCCACATGTTGTGGGAGGGACCCAGTGGGAGAAAATTGAATCATGGGGGCAGTTTCCCTAACACTATTCTCATGGTAGTGAATAAGTCTCACGAGATCAGATGGTTTTATACGGGGAAACCCCTTTCCCTTGGTCTTCATTTCTCTCTTGCCACCACTACGTAAGAAGTGTCTTTGCCTTCTGCCATGAATGTGAGGCCTCCTCAGCTACATGGAACTGTGAGTCCATTAAACCTCCTTTTCTTTATAAATTACCCAGTCTCAGGTATATCTTTATTAGCATGAGAACAGACTAATATACTTTATGAACTCAATATGTATCTAAAACATTAGTATTTCAATATTTAATCAATTCAAAATTATTGAGATATTTTACACTTTTTATCATATTAAGTCATCAAAATCCAGTGTGTATTTTAATTTTACACATGCTTCATATCTCAATTTGGACCAATCACTTTTCAAGGGCTCAAGAGTTACTTGCAAGTTAGTGGCCCCTGGAGAGCCCAATCTAGAAGAGTTCTAGTAGGTAGTAGTAGCAGAAGTAGGTCTAAGTCAACAGTGTTTACATGGCAGATGAAGCCTGAGGCTTGGTGGTGATGTGATTATTGAAAAGAGTGCCTGAAATATGGAAGGAAGCAAGCCAAAGACAGATGTCTGGGGAGCACAACATGAAAGGGGCAGGCCCTGGAAGAAGAGTCAGTAAAACAAGGGGGAAAAATGATCAGAGAGGTAGAAAATTCAGCAACTGCTGTACCCCATGAAGCCAAAGAAAAGAATCTCAGGCAGCATGGGAAGACAAGAGTGTTTAGTGTTTTAGTAAAATGAGAACTGAAAAGTGACCAATGGATTGAACAATTAGGAAGATTTTGAGGGAGCCCAGTATACTGGGCTTTATGATCAAGCCTGATTTTAAGTCTGAGCTCAAGTCTGATTTTAAGTCCGAGCTCTGCCGCTAACTGCTCAGCTCAGCCACAGATGTTTTTAGTAAAGGGTGGCAGAATATGCCATATCAGAACATGCCACTTTGGCATGAGCATTACTTTGAGCTGAAGGTAACTGAGAAAAAGCAGATATAAGAAAAGCTCTCAGCCAGGCGTGGTGGCTCATGCCTGTAATCCCAACACTTTGGGAGGCCAAGGCAGGTGGATCATGAGGTCAGGAGATTAAGACCATCCAGGCCAACGTGGTGAAACCCTGTCTCTACTAAAATACAAAAAATTAGCCTGGCGTGGTGGTGCACACCTGTCATCCCAGCTACCTGGGAGGCTGAGGCAGGAGATTTGCTTAAACCCAGGAGGCGGAGGCTGCAGTGCCCTTGATTGCGCCACTGCACCCTGGCCTGGGTGACAGAGCGAGCCTCCACCTCAAAAAAAAAAAAAAAAAGAAAAGCTCTCTGCCCTTGTCTAAAAGTTTACATGAATTTGCATACATTTACAAAGGTGTCCCTCTTCCCTTCTCTACCAGGAAGGATAACAGTTGATCACAGGAGTTGACTTTAGATCTTCATCATCCTGGAAATAGCACCAGAGAAATATATATGACTACCATTAGTTTCCCATATATTTGCCTTCCCACAATTTGCTGCCCTGAGAGACTCAAGGTCCTCTTCTTTTGTCTTGTCACTTCTCTAAAAATGTACTGTTCTTTGACAGAGATGCTATATAAGCCAGAGTATAAGCCACTTTTTGAGTTAGTAATACCTGGACAGTCACGTGTTACATGCACGATACAAGTTGATAGTGTCTCACACTAATACCCGGATACTCTGGGTATTCTCATGTGTTACATGCATGATACAAATTAATAACTTGTTCAATCTGCTCTTGTTAATCTATCTTTTGTTACAAGGGGCCCAGTTGAGAATTTAGAAGGGTAGAGGAAAAATAATTTTTTCTCCCCAACAACCAATAGTGAAAAGGGGACAATGGACAAAATAGTAACACTCATGGTGCAATGTCTCAGGGGAGGCTATAGAAGATAGGGATTAGCACTAGAAGAAATTAAGATCACCTGTTTTTATGAATAAGGTAATGAAGGCTGAACTTTATGAATAAGGTAATGAGAGCTGAACTTTACGAATAAGGTAATGGGGGCTGAACTTACAATATACTTGAGGCTGCAATGCGGAAGGAGAAAGGAAAGCTTGAAGGTGTCTGTTTTCCCATGAATCAGGAGGCCTGGCAGTCAGAATAATAGTGGAGTCCAACGAAAGGAGGCAAGGAAATTGGTAAAGGTTTGCGACACTTGGTGGAGACTAGGCAAAGTAAGTAACGGTAGATAAGCAAATGAAGTGCAAAGAATCCTCAATATTGAAGTTCATTATTCTGTCATGAAATCAATCAACAATTACTTTTATTTTTTTCAGGAGTATTAGCAAATAGACAGTGGTACTGATTTCAGATTGGGAATTGGTGAGGTAAGTTAAACAAGAATAAAGGGTAGAAAAGTTGGGCCCATTACTTTTTTGGTAAAGGGCAGAAACAATGATTTATAGATTTTTACCTAATGAATCACAGATAAGTAAATTATATGTCACGTCTTTTCTTGAACTATTTGAGAACAAGTTACCATGATCAAGTTTCCTATAAATAAGAAAACTCTCCTACATAATCACAATATAACCATCAGCACCAAGAAATTACATTTATACATTACCACCATCTAATCCTAGAACTCCAATCAAATTTTGCCAATTTTCCTAATAATGTTCTTTATAGCAAAAGGATCAGCCCAGATTCATGCCTTTGTCATGTCCCTTTCATCTCCCTCAGATTAGGAGTTCTGTAGTCTTTACCCAACTTGCATGATCTTGACCCCTGTGAAGATTACAGGACAGTTTTTTTATTAGATGTCCTTAATTTAGCTTTGTGTGATGATCTCACTGATTAGATTCAGGTTATATATCTCGGCAGGAATATCACAGAAATGATGCTGTGTTCTTCTCACTGCATCCTATCAGGTGGCACACAAATTTTGATTCATTCCACTACTGGTTGTATTAACTTTAGTCATTTGATTAAGGCAGCGTTTGCTAGGCTTCTTCATTATATAATTACTCTTTTTTTCCTCTATAATTAATAAGTATTTTGTGGGGAGGTACTTTGTGACTATTCAATATCCATTCCTTATTAAACTGTTTGTTGATTCCAACATGAACTCATAGATTTCAATTTTATTCAATGGACGACCCATCTCCAACATGACCAGAGGGAGCTCCTTCAAGCTGGCAACTGTGTCTTTTTGACACATCCCGAACATTCTTTGAACAATTCCTTCTTTCTGGCTACAAAATGTTACAGGCTCTTCCTGTACTTTCCCTGTCCACATTCTGAAATTGGCCATTTCTGCAAATATCCTTGATTCCTTTTAGTAGAACGTGGTACTTTGAAAATAAGAACTCATCACGGGGTATATTCATTGCTACCGGCATGCTGTTGCTCCCAGGCCCTCTGAGTGTACAAAGCTAAGGAATAAGTGTACATATAGTTGTACATACCTCTATTTAGTTCTATATCTATCTCTATATATTCAAAACCAGGGATTCAAACTGATATGTCTAATTCCAATACAATGCCAAGGGATTTATTCTAGTTTTCTGCCTTCCATAATTTTTAAGTCTCTTTTCTAAGAGTGAGAAACCTGGCCCTCATTATCCCTAATATATTTATTTGATAAAAGCCCTCTGTATTAAACTAGCTTCCCATCACTTCCCCATTCACCATGCAGACACCCTCTGTCTCTCTTTCTGGGCTGCTGCAGCTCTCCTTCCCACCTAGCCCCACTGCATGAATATCTACCTCCATCAATCCCACCTCATTGCTTTCAGACTAAATTGTTTCACAAGGGAAGAGAAGAGGAAGAAGAGTGAAAATCAACTCTTTTTTTTTTTTTGAGACAGAGTCTCGCTCTGTCGCCCAGGCTGAAGTGCAGTGGCAGTGGCACGATCTCGGCTGACTGCAACCTCCACCTCCAGGGTTCAAGTGATTCTCCTGTCTCAGCCTCCCGAGTAGCTGGGAAAACAGGCACACACCACCATGCCCAGCTAATTTTTGTATTTTAGTAGAGACAGGGTTTCACCAAGTTGGCCAAGCTGGTCTCGAACTCCTGACCTCAAGTGATCTGCCAGCCTCGGCCTCCCAAAGTGCTGGGATTACAGGCCTGAGCCACCACACCAAGCTGAAAATCAATTCTTTAAAATTCTTAGATATGGCATGCCATAACAACAATGTGCAAGGAAAATTGCGCTCTTTCTACATTGCCTGATGATGTACCAGAAATTGATAAATCAGCAATAATGGGCTGGGCACAGTAGCTGGAACTCGGGAGGTGGAGTTTGCAGTGAGCCAAGATTATCCCACTGCATTCCAGTCTGGGCGGCAGAACAAGGTTCCATCTGAAGAAAAAAAAAAAAATAGCAATAATAAATTTTTAAATTTAAGGAAAAAAAAAAAACTACTAGAGATGCTATTAAAACCAGCAGTTTAATTCTCTAAAATGTGAACCGTATTATCATTCTGTCCTTTCCCACTTTCTTCCTTCAGCACCTATGACAGTGTTTTGCAAGGTACCTGAAATATAATAGAACTTAATAAATCTTTCTGAATGAATAATGAATAGCAGGTATGAAAACACTCAGTGAATTAATAACTTGTTAAATAACGTAGATATCAACAGTATCTGCTTACCTGTTTCCATACAAGTCAAAAACATAAATATTTCCTTGGTGGTCCCCAGCAATTAAGCAGTCGCCTGTGCCATCAAAAGCCACATTCAAAAATCGCAAAACTTTTGGATGGTAATCGGAAGTGTTGTGAATGATGTTCACTATAATTCTGTCAAAGAAAAAAACCCAAACATTGAAATTCTATATCACATATTACCTGATATTATGAAAAATATGGCAAGTAAAGCATTTTGTCTGTTCATTCTTCCCTCTCCTACTGCTACCGCTATACTGCCTCTCCTCTAGAATCAATCTTACCAGGATTTCAGAAAAACAGTTCAGAAGCTACTCATTGTCAAAGCAGCTACTGTTAATTTATTCATCAATTACTTGAAAACTCATTGTGTCAGATGCAGAACAAGGCAGGTGCTAAGAATACTTGATATGCTCCCTGCTTCCATGGCACTTACAGTTTAGTAGTAAGGACAGACATTAAAAAAATAAACACACATATAAACAGATTTATAAACGGTGATTAAGTGATACACAACAACAGGGTATGAGATTTTGTTTTTGTGTATGGAATGTTTCACAGTGAATTCAGTGCGCATGAGTTTACTTTCATTTCTAATGTATCTACCATGAATACCCTGGCAGGCGAGTTCTGAAAGGACAGGACCACTGCTTGCTCATTACTGTACCCCAGCACCTGGCCTACAATACACAAAAGACACTCAAAATACACCTGCTGAATGAACAAATGCTTTAAGAAATCATTCTTTAAAACCCATATTAATCATACTTCTATATAAAAAAGTAAGGGAGTTTATATTCTAGAGACACATATGGAATGATTAAACTGTTAAATGAAAATGAAAATATTCTAACCTGAAGTTTCAAACACTGACACACACACACACACACACACACACACACACACACACACACAAAATTAGAAGAAAAAATAAATGAGAAAAATCAAAACCAAACACGTCTCTAGAAAAATCATAAAAAATTAGCCAGGCATGGTGCATGTGCCTGTGATCCCAGCTATTCAAGAGGCTGAGGTGGCATTATCACCAGAGCCTGGGGAGGTCAAGGCTGCAGTGAGCCATGATCATGCCACTGCACTCCCACCTGGGTGACATGTAAGACCGTGTCTCCAAAGGAAAAGAAAAATCTACATATAGGGAAAAAAAAGATGAACACAGTCAAATATTAACAGCAGCTGTCTGCAGGTAATAGCGATATGGTTAATTTTTTTCCCCTTTCTACTTTTCTATATTTTAGACATGTTCTTTAATGATTACATACTATTTTCATAACAGGAAAGACAAGAATACACAGCTATATTTGTTTAAATTTACCCTTTTTTGAGAGAAGGATCATATACCCTGTTGTTGAAAGAAAACTTCATAAAATTAACTTACAGCACAAAATAACTCCTTAAAATAATATGTGTGTATATTCTGGTCACAAAGGCCAGAATAATCCCATTCTTTATTGCAACAATAGTTTTTAATCATGAAAATTTTATCTTAATTGATTTTTCATAAATTTCTGGATTTTGTTTTTGTTTTTTTTTTTTTGAGACGGAGTCTCACTCTGTCATAGAGGCTGGAGTACAGTGGTGCAATCTCAGCTCACTGCAACCTCCACCTCCTGGGTTCAAGTGATTCTCCTGCCTCAGCCTCCTGAGTAGCTGGGATTACAGGTGCCTGCTACCATGCCCAGCTAATTTTTTGTATTTTTGGTAGAGACATGGTTCCACCATGTTGGCCAGGCTGGTCTCGAACTCCTGACTTTGTGATCCGCCCACTTTGGCCTCCCAAAGTGCCGGAATAACAGGCATAAGCCACCGCACCTTGCCTAGTTTTTGGATTTTATATTAGAAACATTTATCTTCATTAAAACTTGATTAAAGCATGCTATATTGAATTAAGTGGATTAAACATTTTCTTCATGTTTATGTAAACATAAGGCTTTTTAGATTCGTTAAAGGAAACAGTAAAATTCTTAACAATGCTTATTTGTATCTAGTCCCCAAGGAATTAAAAACACAACAATAAATGTACAGAAATGACAAACAATATCAAAATGTTTCATGGCAACTAAACTCAGAGCAAACAACTTTTTCCTCCAGTCTTATTTTCTATAACACTTATTACATGTTCTGGCTACAAAATTACATAATCATTGTTCAAAATATGAAAAATACAGAAATACACTAAGAAACAAATACTCAATTATAATCCTACCTTGTAAATGTAATCATAATAGTGACATTCAGCCCCTCCGATTTTTCATATAAATCCCACATAAAATATTTATTTTAGAGCAACTTACTTTCAGATTCCCACAGATTGCCTGACAGAGTTCCTCAGTTCTCAAACATAAGAAGAATATCAAATATTTACTAAGCACCAAATGTGTAAGACAACCTGTCTGCTAAATCCGATTATCCCCACTGACAGCCTTAGCGATTAACTTGCCCAAGGTCACAGAGTTGGTAAACGGACATTTACTTCAACGAAATACATCTGACTCCAAGTCAGTGCTTTCTGCCTGTCTAAACAGCATGAACAATGGGTTTTAACGAACACAAAAATAAGCTATGTTTTAGTGGAAAAAGCAAACAAGACATTTGGATAATCAACTCATTTCTTTCACTTTTTGAATCTTGCACATATATCTAGATATTCTGTACCAGCAAGAAGGAGAAAGGTGAGTTGGCTATAACTTTTAGAATGTTTAGAGAATACCAGAGGTGGGAGTGGTATTTACACAAACTCAAAATTTGAAAATGAAAAACCTAAGGAATCCCCACTTTAGACAAAATTTTTTATTCAATGTAGTTGAGACAGCGGCATTGATAAAGAGGCCTGACAGTAACCAGGAACCAAACAAGCTGCTGGTAAAACGTTGCACTTTGGATATACATAGCAGGCACTTAAAACTGATTTGTCCGCCGGGCGCCGTGGTTCACGCCTGTAATCTCAGCACTTCGGGAGGCCGAGGTGGGTGGATCACGACGTCAGGAGATCGAGACCGTCCTGGCTAACACGTCTCTACAAAAAATTAGCCGGGAGCGGTGCGCCCGTAATCCCAGCTACTCGGGAGGCTGAGGCAGGAGAATCGCTTGAACCCGGGAGGCGGAGGTTGCAGTGAGCGGAGATCGCGCCACTGCACCCGAGCCTGGGCGACAGGGCAAGACTCTGTCTCAAGGAAAAAAAAAAAAAAAAAAAAAAAAAAAGGTCTGACTTGTCAAGAAGCAACCAAAGGATCAACAGAAAAATCACTAGAGGCCAGGCGCGGTGGCTAATGACTGTAATCCCTACACTTCGGGAGACTGAGATAGGCGGACCACCTGAGGCCAGGAGTTGGAGACCAGCCTGGCTAACATGGTGAAATCCCATCTCTACTGAAAATACAAAAATTAGCCGGGTGTAGTGGCGCGCGCCGGTAATCCCCGCTACTTGGGAGGCTGAGGCAAGAGAATCGCTTTAACTCGGGAGGTGGAGGTTGCAGTGAGCCCGGATCGCGCCACTGCACTCCAGCCTGGGCGACAGAGCAAGGCTCCATCTCAGAGAAAAGAAAAATCACTACTAGAACAAGAAACACACTGAAACAGGAACTCCAGCGATTTCCGTGAAATCCTAGGGAATTAGAAGCAATAAGACCACTCTGCGTGCAGAAATCGAAATCCAAATGGCACCGCTTTGTAGCAAAGGCTTCCACGGAAATCACACAAGACAGGCTGAGCCTCAAACAGGACAGGTAATTGGGAACAGAATGAAAAGTAGCGCTGGCCGTACTAGAAGCCCCCCAGCAATGCATAATGAACGCCCCTGCCCCTACATACACGCCAATATGTAAACTCTAGAGAACTCCAGAGAACCGGAAGTGTGTTTTGTTCCTTCGCCCTCCCCAGCACTTAGAGGCGTGCTTGGCACACAGTAGGCGCTCAACAAATTGATGAATGCTTGTGCGTCTAAACACATCCAAGGATTTAAGGATGGATAAACTACAGCCTTTGGAAGAGGCAGAATTGTCCTGCTCTTCCAGCCTGCATCTCCCCGAGGAGTTCTGCTCCAGCTGCAACTGTTAAATACTCACTGAACACCTACTACGTGCCAGGGGCACTAGCGGGATACCGTGATCATTAAAGCAGCAGAGTCCCAGCACACACCAAAAGCCGCAAGTTCCCACGTCTGAGAACCACCTGCCTC